ACCAAATTCGTTTCCAATAGATGTCTCCATAAAGTGAAGCCCAGAAGAATCTTCCTCTGGGCAGAGTTACAGTTTGAATGCAGTTTCTAATATATTAGTTTGAGCATTTATTCTTGGTAATGTCCACTTCACCAAGGAATATATAGCCTACTGCTAGAAAGACTAACAACTGAAACCTCAGTATCTGAACATCTGAGAAGCTGCAGCACACTCCTTGGCAAAGCATCAAAAAGACCACTGCATATTCTTTTGGTGTAACCGGTAGGTGAAATTTAGAAAGGAATTAATTGTATTTTAGTAATTGCCCATCAGTATTAACAAGTTGTCTAACTAATCAAATACCATGTTCAACCCATCTTTCATAATATAGAGATTTTCTTTTATATTGAATATTCCTGTTGTTCCAAATGTAATAATTGGTTGGTGAAAAATGGTGTTTGTAAATTAGTTTCTAGGCCAGCAGGGCTTGCTTATGAAAGTTGTATAATTGTATACCATTTCACTTTGAAAGTATTATTGTCTTACTACATGTAAATACATGTACTGCAAGCTCGGTATGTAGACGATGCTGCGTCACTGCATAGGAACGATTTTAGATAGTTTTGTTTCCACTGGGAGTTATTTTTATGAAACACCGCGTTTCATGTGACGGGACGTCGTCAAAGTTTACAAAAAGAAACCAGCTCGCGCTTTTCAAATACATATCGTCACAGCTCGGGAGCCGCAGTCTACGATGCTTATCCTGCGAACATTAGCAACGTCAGCCCGGTAAAAACGTTAGCACGGTAACATTAAAAGCGTTAGCCCGGTAACGTTAACTGTTGGTAGCCTGGCGTCCGGTAACGTCAGTGTGATACCTCTCCTCCGGTTCGGTACCATGGAGCAGGCGGCCAGCGTTAACGCAGACCCGGCGCAGCGCTCTGACAGTAACGGTGGGTTCAAGTGTTAGAAATGTACTAGTAGGCCTCTGGGTCCCCAGCACAGAGAAACTGCTGGATGCTAACTTGCATATTTTGGGCAATTTGCACAATTAGTATTAGTTGCATTAGCATATTACATTACATTACATTGCATTTAGCTGACGCTTTTATCCAAAGCGACTTACAATAAGTGCATTCGACCAGGAAGACACAACCATATGTAGACATAGTTTTAAAATGGCTTGGCCGATTTAGAATTTTAAGTGGTTTTGGAAGTTATTGAGGATGTTGAAATTGTTGACATTTTCAGGATCAAACATTGCAGTTTGAACCAGAAAGTGGAAATATGTATACTCTCGGTGGACTGATTTTGACTACCATGAGTAGTAGTGTTGCGAGCATTGGACAAGATGACATTAGTATCTCTACTGTGGACATTTTATTTTTTTACAAATAAATAAGCAATATGTCGAATTCCAACGATCCAGAGTCCCCTAGATCTTTTAAAATCAACACACAATTCAGCAAACATCAGCCAACAGAGAGTATACATATTGCCACTTTCTGGTTCAAACTGGAACAGAAATGGAATCAGCATCCTCAATAACCTCCAAAACAAACCAGAAATATCCCAAAGTTGAACTGTAGTCCACATTGCAAATTGTACAAATTGCCCAACATATGAAAGTTAGCATCCGGCAGTTTCTATGTGCTGGGGACCTGTAATATATATTACTCAACATTTCTGGATTCACAATAGGACTCTATGGCAAATACACTGATATGCTGTATGAGTGGCTAAAGTCATGTGTCTGTGTGTTCACAGGCAGCTGCTCAAAATGGCGGGACTGGACTGGATTCTGGTGAGTGTTTGCAAAAGTTGAAAGTCTAACGGAATAAACACTATTACAAAATAAATTCCATAGAAAATGCGTGCCGGTCATTTTTGACCCACTTATGGAAGCTTGGGGTAGTAATACAAAAACTACAATTTCTTAAAATGTATACAATTTTAAATTAACATTTGAATGGCATGATATCCAAAACATGTTTTTTGAGGAATAGCTGGAATGTGAAATGATAAAAAAATGTAATTACAAAGATACTTCAAGAAAACCACCTCACCGGGTCAAAAAAGACCCACTTATGCATCTAAGGGTTAGTTACATTCATCATCCCCAATGTGTTGCATCCCCCTTTGCACTCGGCATCATTGTGGACACATGTAATGGAATTGTTGTTTTATATCTGTACATATAAATGTTTATATCTTTATACATATATCTTCACACAGGTAGACTACAGCAAAGCTTCTTAAGGGTTAACTGAAGAGCTACTTAGTCAAAGTGATGCAATCTGCTTCGGAAAAATGATCAAATGATCAATGTAGATGTTATATGAGATTATAACAGAATATGATATCAAAATGTCGGTAAAATGCCAATTCATTGAGTTTTTCAAATCAAATTTAAATTGAAAGACAGTAGGAACAGGTCTAACATTTATTTGACTGTTTATTTCATTATTGTTATTACGTTAAAAAAAAAGAACAAGATTTGATTCAAAGGAAAGGTGTGCAGGTAGAGAACGAATGCTAAAAAAGAAATGAAAAGACACATCATTCCTTTCCTTTAATGAAGCAGAATTAATAATATTGTAGTTAAATTAATGGCAAAAAAGTATGAAATACTACTTAAATCCCTATGAACTCCTGCATATAGGTCCCTCCTCTCCAACACTGATTGTACTCTGGAGCACGGTATATTTTGGTCTTTTCTTTGTCATTCAGGAGTTACTCTTTTAAAGCAACCAGTGGCTCAGCTGTGTGTTCCTGATGCATGTGAATGTGCTGCTTACCCTGCATTATTATTATTATTATGATGTAACTCTTCTTCTGTTATCCTGCCAGGCTCCTCGGGTTGTGCAACAACTTTGCCTATGTGGTAATGCTGAGCGCCGCACACGACATCCTCAAAAAGCAAGAGTCAGCGAACGCCACCTCACCTGTGAGCAGTTCAGTATTTCACTATTTGCACTGAGTCTTGTTATTGCCAATGCCTTGAAGCTGTATGTCCTAATGAACACAAAATGATTCCCTTGGTCTATATGTAGACTCCAGCCCCGCTGACTGTGGATGTCCAGGCTGGGAACAGCAGCAGCCCCTACGACTGTAACCCTGTTTCTACTGCGGTAAACACAGTCACTACACCACGAGCTCTCCTGTGCCAACACATACAATAAGGATGAACTATTATCATTATCACTTTGCATTCATCCCAAAAGCATAACGGTGCAGCAAGCATTCGAGCTGTGGAACAACAAGGCTGCTGTTATTGATAAGAGGTGTGTGTGTGTGTGTGTGTGTGTGTGTGTGTGTGTGTGTGTGTGTGTGTGTGTGTGTGTGTGTGTGTGTGTGTGGTGTGTGTGTGTGTGTGTGTGTGTGTGTGTGTGTGTGTGTGTGTGTGTGTGTGTGTGTGTTGTGTGTGTGTGTGTGTGTGTGTGTGTGTGTGTGTGTGTGTGTGTGTGTGTGTGTGTGTGTGTGTGTGTGTGTGTGTGTGTGTGTGTGTGTGTGTGTGTGTGTGTGTGTGTGTGTGTGTGTGTGTGTGTGTGTGTGTGTGTGTGTGTGTGTGTGTGTGTGTGTGTATGTGTAAAGAGAGGTTTTTAGACAAACAGGAAGCGAGATGAGTGAAGAGGTACTGAAACTCATCTGACAATAAGAGAAACGAAGCCGTTGTTACACACATAGAAAACATAGAGTATATATCGCCACACATTAAATAGTAAGTCTGACATAAAAACACAATTGATTTCAAAGACGCTGTCCTCCTCAGGCTGTGCTGTTAGCGGACATCCTCCCAACGCTCATCATCAAGCTGGCGGCTCCCTGTGTCCTCCACAAACTGCCTTATGGGTAAGACACTGTCCGTGTACCTGTCCGTCAAAGTCCAGGATGAACAGTGCTGGACACAGACCTTTAGTGCTGTCGCTCAGTTGAGTTCAAGATACATTTCCCTGTACCCTGGTTAACTCAACACTTGTTCCATGTCGAATTCATATCCCAACACTTCATTTCAATGTTTATTGCTTTTAGAAGGAAATCAAATAAAAGATCAATAACAAATATATAATCAAATATTTATATTGAAATAAGAATTTAAAGTAAGAATAGGAAATCAAAAAGATCAAATAAAAACACAATAAGTTAAATTAAGAAATAAAAAATAAGATATACAAATATTTATATAAATATGATAAATTAAATCAAGAAGATCAAATAAATGTATATAGAAATAAGAAATTGAAGAATGAATGTGCAATTGAAAGACAAAAGGAAGATATCAAAACAAGAAATTGATTACATAAACACAAATATTTCAATAAAAAAACAAGTTAAAGTAAAAATGTGCTATCAAAGAAAAGAATAATATAAAGATATATGAATATAAGCAGTTACAATAAAATGTCCAATAAAAGACTAAACTATATAAACATAACAAGTGAAATAAAGAATGAGTACATTGCAGTACAAAATCTAACATGTAGTGTATATTCCAGCTGATGCAGTGTATTAGTGTACTCTGATATTAGTCCTGAGTTACACAGATGAAAAGGGTTTGGCTGCTGATGGTTGGGGTCCTTCTAACCTGGCTAGGGTCCTTCTAAGCTGTTTTATTGATACATTTAGCACCGTGCTGCTGTTTCACTCAACTCTTTCATACCATTTCCCCGTGGTCTTATATTTAAAAGTGTTCAGTTTGATTGATGGAAGCGTATGAAAGTGGAGTCGTTCTAGTACAGGTTGTGCTGGCTGTACATCCGATTGGCTGCTCATAGGAGCACGTTGTCCAAACAACAGCATGTTTATTTGTATAATACATTAGTAGTGGTGGATTTACTGCCTCATTCCTGTTTCTGTAGTTTCCGGGTGTTGTTCTGCGCCCTGATGGCAGCCACAAGTTTCCTCCTGGTGTCCTTCTCCTCAGCGATGTGGATGAGCATTCTGGGTAAATTCTGTTCTTATTATTTTGAGTCACAGCTCTTATCGTTGTGTGTAGTGGAACATCTGATAACGGAGTGTCAGAAAGAGTCAGCTTGGTTTCAGCTAATCTTATCTGAACGGATGCTGCTGCGACGATTCCACTGAAATGTGATGCTTTCATGGTTTTATCATGAAATATGGATCGGAGTGCCTGATAATAACTAAGTGTGTCTGTAGCAAAGACGTTTAAGAGAAGGAGGCAAATGAATCTAAATGAGTGTTGAGTTACAGAACATGATGTGGAGGAAATATTTGATTGAACTGCCTTATTTCTTTTATTATTATTATTATTATTATTATTATTATTATTATTATATAGTTCCAAATCAAATATTTGCTTTCAAATGAAAACTGCTCAAAAGAACAATAATCAGGCTGCCAGATGGCTCCTGAACCCATCAGGCAATGTCATCCCCTCTATCTCTCCATTTCACCTCTGTATCTCTAAGAAAAGGCACAATCTGGCAAAAACAAGTTCATATTACTTTATATATATATATAAATAACACCACAATACTGATATTTTAACTAAGGAAGAGTTCAATAATGAATATTTGGTGCAATAACCCTGATTGGCAGTAACAGCTTTCATTAGTGTCACCATCCTCTAGCTGATTTTAAACATGTAGACAACAGTTCATGACCATCGATGTTTATCTTGATAACTGGGTATCCTGAGGTTTGTAAATGGCGCTTTGGGGATTAGGCAAACCATGATCTGCTGCTCCTCCATACACGGCGCCTCGACTGACCTGTCTGTTGACAAACCTCTGAGTGTTGGGAGCTTGGCATAGCAAAAGGTGGTTCATCTTGTATGTGGCTTGGTTCATATGTCTTTCACTAATCTGCCTTATTCAAGCCTTGCTGAAGCCTCATCACCAATTCTCAACAGACTGTATCACTGGGCGTGAAACATGTTGCCTCTCCAGGTCTCTGGTAAACCATTAGAAGACTTGTGAAAAGCTACAAATGTGACTCATCAGAGCACATGGCCTTATTCCAGTCCTCTATAGTCCAACCCTTATGGTCTTTGTTGACTCATCTTTGAGGTAATAACTTTCTTTTACTATATATACACATTAAAATACATTAAAAACGTATACTTTATACATATTTTGTGGTTAAAAGAAGTATTGAATAAGAATGAACCTAGTTTTTTTTGCATTATTACAAGTATAAAACCACGTCATCTTTTATTCTTTTAACCATTTTTTACTTTATCCAAATACATACTCCAATTGACAATATTCTTATTTTTGACTTGCTATTTTATCAGTGCTTTTCGGAATAAATCTAAAACAATTATTTTACTCAAACATATCTTTAAATAGTAAAAACCAGAGAAACGAATAATTTAGCACGGGTCTCTTTTCCACAGCTCTATTTATATCAATTGTAGTGTGTGAGAATGTTCTTTTTAAAAATGACTATTTTACTAATACATGTCATTAATCCATAATTCATGTTTGCAGTTCCTCACAAGGGTCAATAATGTCACATGTTTGGGAGACAGAGGAAATACTTGAATCATTCTGGCTACAAGTCTTGAATAATCATGATTAAAGCTTATTAACTGTACTGGTGACATTTCTATTGAAATGATATAAGAACACAACTTTATTGTCCACTAAAGGGTCAAATTGTCAGTTGCACATCGAGCAGTTCAGTGCAGGTTACAGAGAGGCGTTGTGGGGTAAATGCTAGAGGAAGAAACATGGTTAGATCTATCAACCACACATACCACTATTCACTTTAAGCTCATTTCATAAGGCGGCTCTGTGCCTCCCTCCTGTGTGTTCCAGGAGTGATCTTTGCCAGTATCAGCGCCGGACTGGGAGAACTGTCCTTCCTCTCCCTCACTGTGTACTTCAGCAGGTAAACGCTTCCTCTAACCAAGGATGAACTGATTACACTTGTGTGGTCAAAGTTCACTGTGACCTCACAACACGGTGAGGGCAGGTCTAGTTTTGCGCTTCACTCTGAAATCGCTGATGTTAGAGCTTACTCAGAGGAACCTAGAAGGAAGCACCTTCCAAACAACGCTCTCCTCTCAATGCCGTGCAACAATGATGTGACTCAAGCTAGTGCTAACTCATGAAAGAGTATTTAAATAGCTCTTTGTCACAAACCTAAAGCAGTGGGAAATGACCAGGCGATTGTCAGCAATGATGTCACACCATAGCTTCTGATGGTCTGTCTATAGAGTGGTGCAGGTATGAGTCTGTTAAACAGGAGATGAGTCAGCAATTCTGTTTCGCTGCTCTCAAATGAAATGGGTTTTGGTTAGAGGCGGGAAATAAAGGCTGTGGTTGAGTATCATAAACGTGTGTTTGCCACAGATACTATTTTCTGCAATATTCCAATATCCAATCCAAAAGTCCAATGGAGTCCTTGTGATCCCCCCCCCCCCGGGTAGGGATGTGCTGGGCGCCTGGGGCTCAGGCACCGGGGGAGCTGGTGTCGCTGGAGCCTTCCTGTACTCAGGACTCACCCAGGTGGGCCTGTCTCCCCAGGTCACGCTCCAAATCATGCTGGTGGTCCCGTTCGCTATGTTGATCAGGTGAGTGTGGAGTTCCAGAGCTGATAAGACATTATGACGCATTTGCACAATAACAGGCTGACATTCTTTACAGATGATATGCTGCTTCATACAGCTGAAGGAAAGTGCAGGGTCGTTATTTCACTTTTCATGGTTTGTTTTATAACTTTGAATCTCAGTGGATGTATTTAGAATAGTTTCATATTGATTGACGGAAGGTAAAATGAGTAAATAAGAAAAGAGAGTTATCAAGAACATCAAAACAACAATTATTTTCACGATAAACACTTGATTGATGATGAGGTAGTAAAAAAGTCCTTCATTTTTTACCTCGTTACCTAATATTTGATTACACTATTTAAATATATTTTCCTTTTTACAAACAACTGACCAGAGGAAGATCTTGGGTAGATAATGATGAGAAAATAATGATTTGTTTGTTTGTGGGAGAGATGTCCTTCTGGAGGGAACACAGGGATGCTAACCTTTGCACACCATTTAAATGCACATAAACACAATAAACACACTACAGGAAAGTCAAAACTCCAAAAAGCAGAATCACCTCAGTTCTTCTCAACGTTCAAATGAAAATATTTGTACTTTTGCTTTCCCCCCCACCAGCTACTTCTTCCTGCTGGCTCCTCCACCTACTCTCCCTCAGTGGAGAGAGAAGCAGTATGCTGCGGTGGTGTCAGAGGAGAGGCAGCAGCTGATGGATGACTCAGAGGAAGAGGAGCAGGGAGAGTCAACCCCAGGTACATGTCACAGACAAATCAAAAAGGTTCAAGTGGATGGGATTGAAATGACATGAACGAGTTTATCTGCCGTTGTGCATTGCATGCATGGAAGGCCTTTGAGTGCATTACTGTTGTCTGATCAGATAATAAAGGAAGCACATGTTGTTTCAGTGGGGAAAACATTTAAACATTTGATATGAAAGGGATTTCATATAAGCACACCTCTGATTTGATTACATTAAACACCAGGCCTCATGGTGAGATTTAAGATCAGATGAAGTCATTGGTGTCAGTTTATCTCAGTGTGGAGGGAGTGGTTTCAGTGATAAGGAAAGTACGTGGGTGGATTTGTGCGGGGAAACGGAGATATGTTGGATGTTATCCGCTCTGTGTTGCAGAGAAAGCTAATATTTGCACTTTGAACTCAATGTGTTAATAACTTCTTTTGATACTGCAAAGATAGCAGTTTCACCCAACTTCCATTCTGAGTGCTCAGCTTGGCTACACAATTAGATGGCAAACAAGAATATTGAACTACTTTGTAAAAGATAGAACTAATGGAAAAGGGAAAATTACACTGATATGGTGTTTTAAAGCAACGAGTGGGAGTTTTGAAACAAATCTGATAGATCCCAGACTAAATAACAATACAAGTTCTGCTTGGCATCAACTATACAACAAATAATAACACATATTTATACATATTTACCAAAGCAAACTATCTAAAGAGAAAGAATAAAATAATGTTAATATACAATTTAAATGGACACTATTGTCCTCTAATGACATCATATTCTTTTTTGAAGGGATGCACAAGGCCTAAACCTGCAGATTGAGATTATGTTTGGAGTAGCGGAAACACATGCTAACACATCATTGACATATTAAGACCTTTTGAGATGATAACCCAAATATAATATAATATGTTCTTATTGACACATGTAGCTGACATACAATACAGCTTTATTTATAGAGCACTTTAAACCTCCAGACCAAAGTGCTGTACAGTCAAATAAACAAAAACATAACACAGCACAGCTCACACACCATAAAACAAGTATAAGTAAAAGCAATAGACAATTTAAAAGCAATAAAAGCAACACTCTAAAATATGTCAATACGCTAAGGAGAAGAGGTGGGTTTTAAGAAGCGATTTAAAAACAGGCAGTGTGTCTGATATGCAGGGAGAGATGGTTCCACAGTGTGGGAGCCACGGCCCCCTCTGAGCTTAGACCTGGTTCTGGGCACGTTCAGGAGCAGTTGATCAGCTGACCTGAGAGGGCGGTTGTGCGTGTAAGGGTGTAGCAGCTCAGAAAGATGTGGTGGGGTCAAGCCATCCAGAGGCAAATAGTATCACTTCCTTTGGTTCCACTTCACCTGATGCAAATGACTGAAATATAATAAAACAGATCTAATAGTTCCCTTCTCTTGAGGGGATAGAATTAGCTTTTTCTTGTCAGTTTTAATTCATGTATAACCACTTTATGTGCAAGTGCTGCATAATTAATCCAAATCTTATCGTAATCACAATTCAAACCCGTGCAATATCTAAATCCCAGTAAGCACAATGTTTTAGTAAAGGGCAAAGATCTTTAATATGATTTTATATGAATGATTGTGCTGCTGCAGAGAAGTCATGGTCTACAAACGGCATTCTCACGCTACGATCCTCATTTGGTACAGATCCACACAATGATCATTTTAATTTTCTTTTCTAAATGATGCTCCTTCCCTCAATTATTGCAAATCATATTGCAATTGGAATATCAGTCCAAATATTTGCAAGTTATGCTTTTTTCAAAATCATACAGCCCTAATATGGGCAGCCTGAGTTGCTGAGACCATGCTGTTTCTCGCTTATTTGACAACACAGGCAGATTTAAAGAGGCTTTTCACAATGAATGAATCATGTTATTGGTTCATGCTTTCGTCCCCCTCAATGTAACAGGGAACAGGAGCAGCGGACCGCTCACCCCTAAAGAAAAACTTCATGTCATCAGAGTAAGCACACTCTTCCCTTCATTTTAAATATGTGTATCTTTCTGATCAGCCCTAACATCTCTTGTTCCTGTGAGCAGGGCCTGATGAGGTTTGTGTTCCCGCTGGGACTGGTCTACTTCGCTGAGTATTTCATAAACCAGGGCTTGGTAAGTTTGAGTTGTTGGGCCAAATCCAACATTAGTGTGCTGTAGTCTGAACGATGGTATGAATTGATGGTTCATGACATTTCAACTTTTGAAAATATAGCTAATAGAGTGGTGCAGTGATCACTTGTTTTTCTCTGCCGACATGAATGTTAACATCAGAAGGGCTCGCTCAACAAAACTGTAATGGCTATATATATAACCAATGGCAAAAAGAAGCCTCAGTGGGGTATTTAGACTAGTGTTGTCACGATACCAACATTTTGGTTTCGATACCGATACCAAGTCAAGAATTGCGATTCCGATTATTTTCTTAAAAATAGGGAAACAGTCTTAAATGTAATTATTGTGCTTTATTTCACACCATAACCATAACACAAACTTTTAAACAATGAGAACAATAAATAAAATACATGACAAGAGTTTGTATTGAATACAATTAAGCATCATCTATAAACAAGTTTTTTGTTTTTCGCTACTGGCGTCTTTTTTGTCAACAAGCCGAGGCGCAGCAGCAGTTGCACTCCCACTTGCAGCCATGCTTCTCGCTTTCTCACATGCTCTGGCAGCTAGCGCGTGCACGAGAGAGGGGAGGCACTTAGAGCGTGCTTGAGAGGGGAGGGGCTGCAGAGCAGGCACAGCTGCAGTGCAGGGAGTGGAAGCAGAGCGCTGAACACACACGGCTCTTATTAAAACGGCGCTTTCTCACCGGAGTACTTTTCCCCGTCATTTTTAAAGTACCGATACTAATGAAACGGAGGAATCGTAACATTTTTAACGGCAGGGTATCGCGGTACCCTTCAAGTATCGGTACACCGTGCAACACCAATTAGACTATGTTTTTGTCTAAGATAAAACATTAGCATATCTTAAAGGGGACCTATCATGCAAAATGTACTTTTGTATGTCTTGTATACATAAATATGTGTGTGTCAGGGAACTCACAAAGTGTCAGAAAACAAAACCCTCACTCTTTTCCTCCGTACCTAAATCTCTAAAAACGGGGGTACAACGGAATATCGGAAATGTGGACTGGCTTCACACCCACGGCCCTATCAGAAACAATGCCTGACATGTTTTGGACGTAATATGGTCTTTGTTTACATTAGCAAGCATCGCTAACACTCAGAGCTAACGCTGTACTGGAGAGAGTATGTGTAAAGAAGCAGGAAATATAAAAAGGAACTCACCTTGTGGTAAACCCGCAAGAGAAAAAGCCTTTGAGCTCCATACTGTTTCAGAAATAATCCTTGATGTGGTTTGGAACATGTTAGTGTTTAATCACGGCAGCATTTAGCTGAGTATCTCGTAGAATTCTGAGCAGGCATTTGCTCCCCCTCCTCTTTTTTCTTTTTTTCAAGTTAAGGACCCCGAACCTACAGTTCTCTAACAGGGCTGAAATCAAGCCCCCAGGAAGTGCGCCGGACTCTGATGAAAATATTCGTTGCGTCCAAACGGCGGTACTACACTTTCCGTATCAGTCCGTGACATCATTGGGCCCGGAAAGACTTTTCCCCATTGACTAACATGGGGAAAGAAACGTCTGTAAATCAGCGGATAATTGTTTTAAAACTAAACAAAGTACCCAGTATGAACTATTTTATAGCCCTTATTATAATCATTAGGTCCTTAAAGTTCTAAAATGCACTAAAAGCCGAATCTAGATTTGTTTTCTGTCTCCATTCATTCTACTGAGCTGAGAGCATGGCTGAGAGTGGGGGGGCGGGGCTTAAGGGGAGCAGGCTCTGTGAGCGCACATACGGGTTCTTCTGCTCTGACAGCTAGGCATGATGGGTAATCTGTGACGTTTCGCTCTCTCAAAAGTTGGGCCATTTTGTCTTCCTGCTCCAATGAGCAGCTCTCATAGGAAAGATAGAGACCCCGCCTCCCACGCTGTATCCACTTATTATACATCCATGGCTGAAATAGAGGGATGTGAGGGATGTCTAAAATGCATGATCTGTTTGGTATTTTGAGCAAAATACATCATAGACATGTTTGTATATATAATATATGCCTAAAAATAGCATGATAGGAGACCTTTAAGCTTGAGTTAGCCACAGACCTTGTTAAGGCATCTGCTGTAACTCTATACACGTTCAAAAGCAGTTGACTTGAAGACGAGGGAACCCGATGTGGTAAAATGCTGAATCATTTCCGAGTTTTAGAACTGATTCCTGCACCTCTCTATAATGAGCACGGACTAATGTTGGCGTTTCTTTTCCCAGATGGAGCTCCTGTATTTCCCCAATGTGTTTCTGTCTCATGCAGAGCAGTACCGCTGGTCAGTTAACCTCACTGTTATATTTTCTGAAGGATTCAAAAGTGATATATTTGTTCCTTTTTGACAACTGTTTGCCTCTTATGTGTGTGTAGGCTATCAACCTGATTCTCATTGTGTGTGTGTGTGTGTGCAGGTACCAGACGTTGTACCAGGTTGGTGTGTTGGTGTCTCGATCATCCCTGTGCTGCATAAAGATCAGGAAACTGTGGGCTCTCTCTTTGCTCCAGGTGAGAAATGCACACTAAAAAAAATCTCAAATTATTATGACATTTCAATTTGAACACATTTGTAAAATGTCAACTGCCAACATTTTTTAAATTCCGTATTCCTTAAATTTCCACATGTGGCAACGAATTTGGGAGGACAAACACCCAGGGCAAAGTCAAATATTAAAAAAGCTACAAAGCTATTGGTTGATAGTAATCACTTATTGGGTACATTTGCATTTTATATACTGCTTAATACTAATCTACAACCAACCATACATTTGTTCTGGATGTACCATTTGACATACTGTAGGTATATGGTATGGATGTAATACATTTTTGGAGAAAAAAAATCCCTTTTTTCACCTAACCCAGATAGTGTGGTTCAGGACTGACTCATTAACTCGGAAATTAGTTAGCATTTGAATACTTAAAATGTCCTACATGAAATATATCAGTAAACCCCCCCGGGCGCTGTACAATAGCTGCCCACTGCTCCTAGTACTAGGATGGGTTAAATGCAGAGGTCAAATGTCACTGTGTGCTGTGTTCTCTGCATGTGTGACCATTAACGAGGGTTTCATTCCTCCGATTCTATTCTATTAGCCGCCTTTAGCTTAGCGCTGGTCATGTGACGTCATATCGGTTTTTTTTACCATTAGTTTTTTACTTTGGGTAATTGCTTTTATGCTTCAACTACTAAGTGGTGTTGATATGAGGAGATTATCCTGCTGAACAAAACAGTAGAAAACTGCTCTTTCAAATATAGCTATCACTTTTTTTATTGCCGTCTTTTGTGTTCATTTTATTTTGTTAAATTAAAGACTGTTGGAAATCTTTTTTATTTATTTTATTTCATAAGCAATTTCCTGTAATGTAGGGTTAATCACAAAATACGCTGTGATCACCATTAAGTTTGGGAATTATTAATATATTTTATTATTTAGAAGGTAATACTGTTATATTTGACTATATTTTTTATTAAATCAAATTCCTCGTACGTGTAAACCTACCTGGTAATAAACACCACACACCTATCTTTATCACCAGCTGTTATCACAAATATGCACAGAATAAAATATTTCCTAAAATATTAACAACAGTCCAGAGTACAAATCCTTTTCCTTCTAATCTGTGGGTGGATGTTTGCATACTGCTGACTCTGCTGTCTGTGCTCCAGGTGGTGAACGCGCTGCTGCTCCTGCTGGCGGTGCGTTTTCACCTCCTGCCCAATCCCTGGACCGTGTTCGCCATCATCCTCTACGAGGGTCTGCTGGGCGGAGCGGCCTACGTCAACACCTTCTACTTCATCAGCAAGGAGGTAGGCTGCGCCATTGATCAAAATGTAGATTGTGATAATTCATTGACTTTAGGGGTAAGTCTTTTTATTCCACTTCAAACCCTTTATAGTTTATTTGCCAGTTGCTTATTGTGAACCCGGAAATGTTGAGTTCCCCAAAGTGTTATGTTAGAAATGTATAGTACGGGTCCCCAGCACATAGAAACTTCCGGATGCTAACTTACATATGTTGGGCAATTAGCACAAGTTGCGTTATTTAGCATACTGTATGCAGACAATAGCTAAAAAAAACATATTTGCCCATTTGGACAATTTTGGAGTGGTCTTGGAGGTTATTGAGGATGTTGTATCGATATCTGAGCTTTCAGGATCAAGAATTTCAGTTTGAACCAGAACGTGGCCATATCTGTACTCCCGGTTGGCTGAAATTGATTTAACATCCTTCAATGACCTACAAAAAACATCCAAACATTTTCCAAATCTGCCAAGTCATTTCTTAGCTTTTGTCTACATATGCTAATTAATGCTAAGTAACACAACTTATGCCAATTATATAACATAAGCAAGTTAGCATGCGGTAGTTTCTATGTGCTGAGGACCTACACTATACATTTCTAACTGTTTGGGTACTCAACATTTCCAGGTTTAAACTGCTGGCAAATAGACTTTTAAGAGAGTGTTTGGTGATGCATCAGCATACCGCCCTGCTCTGTGTACAACTGACTTGTTCATTATTCTACATCACATGTCCAGTGTGTGTTCATCCTGAATTATTTGTTGTGTCCACAGTCTGAAGACAGACACAGGGAGTTTGCCATGGCTGCTGCCAGTGTAGGAGACAGTCTGGGCATCGCTCTGGCTGGACTCGCTGCTTTCCCCGTGCACAGATACTTCTGTTCCCTATGACGCAGCCCACACACACCTCCACCATGAATCAGCAGGAAGTGGGTGGGTGCCTGCTATTTCAGGGATTGAAAACAGGAGACTACGTTTCTACATAAAAGTGGTGGTGGTGGAAACACTTTTGACCTACTTCTACTACTGATCAACTACTGCTGCTTTTTGGGAAGCACACCTCTGATTTGGAGCCTGCTTCCAGTATTTCTTTACAGAAGGCATGGTAAAAGCTAACTGAAATGAATAATGCAAAAACGGTATTAGAAGTCTGTTGCCGGCAGAAAATGATTGCAGACTTGTAGTGCACTTTTTCTTTAGCTGCTTTGCAAGTTAAAGAGGCCCTTTATGCTTTTGGGGTTATCTTTCCTTGGGTTCAATCGTGAAAAACATTTAATATGAAGAAGCAAATGCATGTCAGGAAATATCCAGTTGATGTCTACAGCAGTCGTAGTTAGGCTGAATGAAGAAATGGACATAGTATATCATCTTATTTTCAAACATACAACTTATCTTACTAAGGTTAACATTATACAACCATGTTAAGCTTTTAATCCAAAAAAAGTAGTACAACACAATTCTGTACTGAAGGCTAAAATGTAATTAGACATTTTCAATATTGTAATTGATATGATGTTGTGGGATCTTTAATCTGTTTTTACGTTATTGCATTTTGCTGAAGTGTCCTTGATACTGACACAGTTGACACTTGACACAGCTATTGAGTACTGACTGTTTGTGGTTTAACACGTCAAAGTGATGTTAACAAAGGAAGTTAAAAGGTTTTTTTTTTGTGTGCTTTAATATTGAATATACTGTAACAATATGAAAAACTGGACTATGCCCAGAGCTTTCAAATACTAATATTATTAAATGTACATACATCTTTATTTAATTGTATTGCTTACTTTAACATCTTATGTTTATATTAATATTTTCATTATTTGTATTTCTTTCTCTTTTGTGTGTATGTATATATATATATATATATAGATATATATATATATATATATATATATATATATATATAGATATATATCTAGATAGTATATATATATATATATATATATATATATATATATATATATAGTATATATATGTATATATATATATATATATATATATATATATATATATATATATGTATATATATATATATATATATATATATATATATATGGAGCAACTGTCATAATCCCCAATTTCCCCCTGGATAAATAAAGTATTCTGATTTATGCATACGCAGATCATCTGTTTTTAAATCAATTGAATGTACAAATCTGCTTGCTGCCACCTTTTAATTATTATATTGAATGATTTCATTCCTAGCTATTTTGCTCATTTGCACTGCAATTAGCGACGGTTACGTCTAGACCATTGTCCCAATAACTCTATCTTCAATAACTCTATCTTTAAACATTAATCAAATGTCAGATAATAATGAAAATGCTCATCACAATTCACTTAATGTGACTTCTTCGAATTGCTCTGTTGGACCAAAATCGATGACTGTATTATAATTGCTGATCCTTTTCTGTCAAATCATCTTTTCAGCTCAAGTTTACCTGTAATTAAAGTGACAGTTGAGCCTCATTTTTTATCAACAATGTGTTTTTGTGTTCATTTCTTTTATCGTTCTACATGAATCATTAAACCTTTAGCTCTGATTCAGTTCCAAACTTGACTGACTTTTTTTCATATATCCTCAGGTATAGTAACAAACCACTACTGACACCATGTGGTTAAATGTGGCCCCAAATGATCACAGTTGTGCAACAACGGAAAAGATTCAAAGATCTCCTTTCGATGTGTTTCTTTCCATATAAAAATACTGAGCTTGAATAATCATATGTCTGGTATTGTTTTTCTACACAACAGGTCAGATTTATTTTCAATTCTAAACATTGCATCCGTGCCTGCTCTCTTTTACTATTGATGGATTCTCAATCTAAGGTTATGCTTCAGGTTTTCACATCACAGTAGGATATACAGTTTATGTATATTTATTTCACGAAACAAATCATAAAGTCAGCCAGAGGATGGAAAGATGTCAACACTCATTAAAGCTGTGAGCTGTGAATCAGGGTTATTCATCCAAATGGTGATGAACTCTTAAGTTAAAACATTTGTATTGTAATGTTCTTTTCTGAAACCACTGCATGTTTTTTGACCAGTTGCAACTTTCTGTAAATACATTCTCCAACTTAACATATTTTAAATTTGAGAGAAACATTGTCAGAAGTTTGTACAATGAGTAAAACATGTTAAATGTACTCAACCATAAACCTATAAATAGTCAAACCACTGAAGCTGTATATGTTATCAAACCCAGGCGCGCTCCCGATACCGGAAGTCATAGTCAAGTTGTGCGTGTTCATGAGCACGGGAGCAAGAGTGGACCCGGCAAACACGTTAGCTACCGTGGGAAGAAGAGAACCAGCCGGTGGATCAATCCACGGAATGAAACAAATATATGTTTGTTTGTCACTGTTCAGCTATCATACACTTCACGGTAATCACTCTAACGCATGTTTCGTGTTACATCGTCGTGTGAATGCTTCTGATATGTGTTGCTAACGTTGGCTACCCTGTGTTGCTAGCCTTAGCTGTTCTGTTCACAAAGTTAGCCAAGCAGCGCTAACAGTGTTGACGCCGCCTGGTGCCTCGACAGGCAGCAAGCTAACATACAGCTAAGCTAAACACGCTTCTTATTTAATTAGCACATAAAGTATTGGCGGTTGTTCGCTACCGCTCGGTAGACATTTTTGTTAACCGTCAGGACGAATTCCTAAACAAAATGGTTGGCAGAGATATCAAACAATCAGTTGTTCGCTGACGTAGTTAGCTGTGATCTAAGCTAGCGAGCTAATGGTTAGCTTACCATTTAGCTACGCCCTTAGGCCTCACATTCCTGTACGAATAAAGTCGGGTTTCTCAGGTTTATTGTAACTGGTATTATTCATATTTGTTTAGTTGGTTATCTTGCATTCAAAACGTGAATCTTATCCATGTTACTCAAATGTGGCTGCCTTGCTTTGCCTATATTCAGATTGATTGTTTAACTGCTTGGCCGTTTGTTCCCGTTACAGTTCTCATTCGGAGCGTCTCGATAAGAAGAGGCTGACCAAGTGTTGAAGCCCTGTGTGTTTCCGAAGAGGGAGTGTGTAGTTCCTGTCCCATTAGAGTCCCGGGCCGGTGTGTGTCAGAAGAACCAGAGTGTGTGTCTCTGTGTGAGCAGCTCTCCCTATGTGTGTCACTATGGGGGACATCAGTGACCTGGACCGACAGATAGAGCAGCTCAGACGCTGTGAACTCATCAAAGAAAATGAAGTGAAGGCTCTGTGTGCCAAAGCCAGGTAATGGTCAACTTCACACAACACACACATGGGAGAAGACTATATATAGAGTATTATAAGAGCTAATGTCTCCTGTGAGATACCACCATTCAACACACAAAGTAAATTAAATTAACAAACGCTGGTCTCCTTACAGCCTACTACATATTATTCGAATATAGTATTTACCTCATGCATCTAAATTACAACTTGTCTGTTTGGTGGAGGCATACATGTTGAATAATATACTGATATTAGAAAAGTATCACAATACCCTTGTTAACACAGTGCAAACCTCAATTTGATCAGGATCAGTCCTTAAAGACTGACAGATCGCTTCCAATCACTGCATGGATAGAACTTAAATGAGCTCAGTGCATTCTGCTATAAACGGCGACTCATCAAAAGAGTTCACAGTGCTACTCAAGCAAGGATAAACGCTGTTATGAGCAGCAGTGTGACATGTGAAGGATAGATGTGAACAAAGAGCTGATCTTTATTTCAATACTTTACTCCAGCCATGCTTGTATATTAAAACTTATAAATACACTTTGGTACAATTTATAAATGGTCTCGTGGCTTATTTCATGCCCTGCATTGACATTGTTATCACACTTTCGTTTTTTAAATTAGAATGTAATAAGAAACCACTAGGCAAATCTATTTATTTGAACTAGAATTTATGTTGCACAAAGCTTGTTTCCGTAGGTTAGCTAGGGTTAATAGTAACAGGATTTCCCCCTCATTACATTGCTTTGGCCTTATAAGTATAAGTGATGATGTAAAGTTGACCAATCTGGCTTTGTGTGTATTTATTTTCAGAGAGATTCTGGTTGAGGAAAGCAATGTCCAGAGAGTAGACTCCCCCGTCACAGTAAGTCACATTGAATTACTGCTCTTTGTAGCTTATATTTATCATTAAAAAAAAGAAGTATTACATGTGCTAATAATGTGTTCTCTCTCATAGGTGTGTGGTGATATACATGGTCAGTTCTATGACTTAAAGGAGCTGTTTAGAGTAAGTTTCTGTTTCCTTTTACTTCACTGTGTTTTATTTTTTATAACTCGTTCGCTCAAGCCAGCCGTGCCCCATCTAGTTAGGTGCGCGTTCACATGAAAGGGGTGGTATCTGGAGCATTCGACCAATCACAAACATGGAGAAGCGTACTCACAGCGCAGCGTCATACTTCCTGAATGAAAAGTGAACTTTAATACTAGACATATGAAGAAGTTAAACTTTAAACATCCATGACTTAAACACTTTATCCAGGATGGTAAATGGTAAATGGACTGTACTTATATAGCGCTTTATCCAGTCTTTACGACCCCTCAAAGCGCTTTACATACTACATGTCATTCACCCATTCACACCCATTCATACAGAGCAGTACCACTTGCTCTAGGACCTAACATTCACACACATTCACACACCGTTGGCCATGCCATCGGGAGCAACTCAGGGTTAAGTATCTTGCCCAAGGATACATTACCTCCCATCTTCAGAGCAATCTGACTATTATAACATTAGCGTTAAGAAAGCTTACTTAAATATCTGCCACAACACAAGTAACCGGATCAAAGTAACATTACGTAGCCTACAGTCAGCGGCACTGTGAGTGCAGACGTCAATGTGTCCCATTATCATTAATATTAGGGCTGCACGATATTGAAAAAAACTGACATCGCGATTTTTTTCCCCGCCTGCGGTATATATTGCGTTTTTTTTAACCTGTTAAGCCCCAAAGTCCCGGCGGGTACTTTACTTTTTTTTTTCACGACACTGTCTCAGGGGATCTTAATATTTAAGAACCTATTAATGTTTTATACCAGATTAACGGAAATAATCTCAGCTAACTGACGATACAAACCATTTTTACCAAAACAAAACAAGTCTCATAAGAAGCATCTAAATGACCCCTGAGCGAAAAATGATAACGCACTTTTGCACAGAACTCAAGATAAAAGTACCCTTATCACTTATCGTAGCTGCACTTACAAGATATCCGATTAAAGCTGAGGTTCCACAGATTATTTAGGTATATAGTATCATCACTGAGTGATCCGAACTCGGACAGGGGAAGCAAACACAGACATCACAACACGTACCTTTACGTAGCTTCTAGGGGAGATGTATCACCGTAGCTGTCAATCTGATCAAAAGACGTGTTGTTCAATGGCATTAAAACGCGGCTGAATCGGTTAATCCATAGGTTTTTAACGTTTCTGTATAAAAAAAGTATTTCATTTATAATCCATAATTCCATTTTTATGTAAAAATCGCAGAGCAAAAGTTAGCTGCTAATGGTAGCCACCAGAGTGGCTGCTGCTTCCGGTCTTGGCGGCAGTCCAGCGCAGTCTAACACACACACACACATTACCAAATAAGGAGTGAGAGTGACGCGTAGCCAAAACCGGAAGCTGCATACACTCTGGTGGATACCATTAGCAGCTAACTGTTGTGCTCCGATTTTTACATAAAAATGGAATTATGGATTATAAACAATTGCTTCAAAGCCACAGATACATTATCAACCTATGGATCAACCGATTCAGCCGCGTATTTTCTCGTTTTAATGCCATTGTACACGTCTTTTGATAAGATTGACAGCTACGGTGAGACGATCTCCCGTAAAAGCTCCGTAAAAGGTATGTGTTGTGATGTCTGTGTTTGCTTCCCCTGTTGCGAGATTGGATCGCTTAGATGCTATACTTAAATAATCTGTGGAGTCTCAGCTTTAATCGGATATATTGTATGTGCAGTTTAGATAAGTAATAAGGGTATCTTTATTTTGAATTCTGTGCTAAAGTGCGTTAGCATTTTTAAAAAAAAAGGAATAAAACCGTACGTCCCTGCGGTGTGAATATCGCGGTTATCGCCATGACACGGTATATCGTTCAGCCCTAATTCATATCACATCATAATGTATCATATCTCCTTATCTGAGTCAGCTGAGCCGTATCTGGCCGTGCAACACTCAGTGTCACATACTGTATGCAGAAGTATTATTTTAAGCAACACATTAAGTTGACGAAACACTCGAGTCAAATGTAATTAAAGTCAGATCGTGTCTTAGACGGGGCAGTGATATAATAAACCTGTTAATGTACGCATTCAAACACTTTTTCTTTTACCAGCTGTATTCACCTTGCAGGTGCCGCTATGTGGCTTTGATCCTGGATAAAGTGTTTAAGTCATGCATGTTTAAAGTTTAACTTCTTCATATGTCTAATATTATAGTTGACTTTTCATTCAGGAAGTATGACGCTGCGCTGTCAGTGCGCTTGTCCATGTTTGTGATTGGTCAAATGTTGCTAACTCCGCCCCTTTCATGTGAACGCGCTCTCAGCCGGACAGAGAAACCCTGGCTTGAGTTACTGAGTTGATAACCAGCGTCGTAGGACCGCTTAGCGAGAGCTTGTTTGTTTTGGATTAGATAAGCTGGCTAACTCAAACATATCCAGGGTCTGTTGAACTGGATTCGTAGTACAGGCCTCTGATGTCAGTCTACGTGAGATTTTTTCTCTTGTATCATCATGGCTTATAAAAAGTATATCATATGCCAATTTAACTTTTAAATCCTTTATATCAGCTCACAAAAAGCAACTAAAATATGATTTTAACAACGTTTTACTGCAGACATTGAGATGTCTTAAACTGGATAGGAATTTTTATGAATTAGAGCGCCCAGATCTAACATGATTGTGACATGCACTTGTTGAATGGAGCTTGTTTTTCTTTATCATCAACCAGATTGGAGGTATTATTTAGTAAGATTCTTAGTATCCCACTTTTTAACTTGTTAGGGCCCGAGCACGAGAGTGCTAGGACCCAACGGCGTCCTAGCACGAAGTGCAAGGATACCTATTGTTATTCGTGGAATTATTAGGGCCCGAGCACGAGAGTGCTAGGACCCAACGGCGTCCTAGCACGAAGTGCAAGGATACCTATTGTTATTGGTGGAATTATTATTAGGGCCCGAGCACGAAGTGCAAGGATACCTATTGTTATTGGTGGAATTCTTATTATTAGGGCCCGAGCACGAAGCGCTAGGACCCAACGGCGTCCTAGCACGAAGTGCAAGGATACCTATTGTTATTGGTGGAATTCTTATTATTATTTTTCATCTGCTGGCGTCTCCTGTTTTTGAGGCCTTTAGGATGCTGACAAAGTTGTATAATTTTGCACGGACGCCAGAACTGGTGAAAAATACAATATTCTGGAGTCGATGGGTTAAATATTCCAACCTGCTCACTAGCGCCACCTATCAAAATCCCATTTCGGACAAAATTAACAAAGTCGCACCGTAACTCAGAATGACCTGAAATTTTGCACACATATCCGGGAGTACCTGCTCTACAAATAAGTCCATGGGAACCCTAAGCTCCGCCTACATTTTTTTTTTTAATTGGCTAATTTACATAAACAGTTCAATATTCACTTAAATTTCAATTTTCAGTTTTTCAACACCAAACTTCGTATATAGCATCGGTGGAGGGTCAGATACATTACCCTAGGAGATGAGCATGTTCAAACGATAAATATTTCCGCCATTAATTAAAACGTACTCGCAAAAAGGCGGGGCTTATAAAGAAATGCTCATAACTCATCAACAATGTATCCATTCACCACAGATTTTGGTGGAAAGGTTCAATCTGTCTTGGGAAATAGGCACACCAAATAATTTTCATTTAAGACTATAGGGGGCGCCAAAAACACCACCAATTTATAACTCAAGAGCGGATGTACGAATTATTTTTTTTTTTTTTTACACATACTCTCGGGGTGACTACGAACTCAGATTTAAAGTGTCGCAACAAATTCAGAATGTGGGCGTGGCCTATACATTTTTTTTAAATTGCGGTAGCATAAAATGAGCTTCGGACGCAAAACTTGGGACACACGTCAAAGCCCACGACCTTTTCGAGAATGTAAAAAAAAACGTACATTTTCAAAAAACTGCTCACTAGCGCCCCCTATTGTGTGGTAGTCGCATATAGTTTCTCAGAACTTCACGAAATTTGGCACAGACATTCCTCATGCAATTGCGGACATATTTGTATATACATTCCATTAGCCCCGCCCCCCAAAAAGTCGGCCATTTTGAAAAATGTGCGTTTTTTTATGCATTTTAAGCACATTCGTGCCAACTCCTCCTAGGGGAATGATCGTAAAAATTCCAATCCAGGACACGTTCAGCCCCTATCCAATATAATACTTAATTGAGAAGAAAATTGTTGATAGCTCAATCGTGGAGGTCGTAAGCTAACAGCGAATACACCATTTTTGACGATTTACATGTCGCAAATTACTCCAAACTACTCGGATATAGTTAATCCGATATTCACGAAACGCTGTATACATATTGCTATTATGATTGCACACATATTTCAAATTGCCTTCCATTAGCCCCGCCCCCCAGAAAGTCGGCCATTTTAAAAAATGTGCGGTTTTCAGGCCATTTTACGCACGTTCTTGCCAACTCCTCCTAGGGGAATGATCGGAAAAATTCCAATGCAGGACACGTTCAGCCCCTATCCAATATAATACTTAATTGCGGAGCACATTTTTGAAAAATCACTCGTGGAGGTTGTAAGCTAACAGCGAATACACCATTTTTGACGATTTACATGCCGCAAATTACTCCAAATGACTCCAAACTACTCGCGTATACTTTTTCCAATATTCACGAGACACTGTATACATATTGCTATTATGATTGCACACATATTTCAAATTGCCTTCCATTAGCCCCGCCCACCAGAAAGTCGGCCATTTTGAAAAATGGCCGTTTTTCATGCATTTTAAGGACATTTCTGCAAACTCCTCATAGGGGAATGATCGGAACAATTCCAATCCAGGACAAGTTCAGCCCCTATCCAATATGATGCTAAATTGAGAAGAACATTTTTGATAGCTCAATCATGGAGGTCGTAAGCTAACAGCGAATACACCATTTTTTACGATTTACATGTCACAAATGACTCCAAATGACTCGCGTATAGTTTTTCCAATATTCACGAAACGCTGTATACATATTGCTATTATAATTGCACACATATTTCGAATTGCCTTCCATTAGCCCCGCCCCCCAGAAAGTCAGCCATTTAGAAACATGTGCGTTTTTCATGCATTTTAAGGACATTTCTGCAAACTCCTCATAGGGGAATGATCGGAAAAATTCCAATCCAGGACAACTTCAGCGCATATCCAATGTCATGCTACATTGAGAAGTAATAGTCCTTCGCTCAAACGGGGAGCTCGTAGGCTAACGGAGAATGTACCTTTTTTGACCAATTATATGTCAGATAAGCTACTGAGACCTGCCTGTCTGCCTGGCACATCAACTCTCACACACACACACACACACACACACACACACCTACTGTTAGTCCAACAACACCCTTTGCTGGCGGCATATTCATTACAACAGACACCTATACACTCGCTAACCCTAACCCTAATGTTTATTTTTAGATATCTCCTAAAGCCTACAAATAAAGTGTGACATGTAGGCCTGTTACATTTGTTATTGAGCGATATATATTATACACACTGTTCTGCTTTCTGCACTGACCTCAGCAGCTGTTCTCACTGTAACATCACCTAACATCCAGGGGACATGTGATTAGTGAGTAAACAAACGGTAAATGGCAGAAAGTCTGATGCACATTTGATCATCTCAAATAACTTATAATCACAACGGGAACAGTTTGCAGAGCTGTGCTTTGTTGACAGAAGTCCAGCCATGCGTCACGCCTCTTTTAAACATCACTGTTGGCTGAAATCGTCTCAGGAGAATACTTCAGTGTACCCTCGGTTATAGCTCCTCCAGAGACACTCCTCTCTCCTCTAAATCAGTGTATCCTCGGTTACGGCTCCTCCAGACAGCCTCCTCGATAATCGATCCTCGACGAGCCTTTAGAGACATTTGTTTTCCTTCGAGACGGCGCGCCGAAATCCGTTTCCGGGTCGCTGCCGGAGGACCTGGGAGTCTGGGACGCGAAAATTATAGAAATGAGAAACGGCTCATTTCCCAGGACTCGCGCGCGTCCGCTTGACCCCGGGACGACCTGCCGCCCTCTCCGACAGGCGCACGGACGCGAGGGCCCGCTCATCACTGCGCGCACAAGTGCGACCGCAGTTTTAATTGTTTTTGTTTTCTCCACTTGACAGGTTGGTGGCGACGTCCCCGAGACAAATTATCTTTTCATGGGAGACTTTGTGGACAGAGGCTTCTACAGTGTTGAGACTTTCCTCCTTCTGCTAGCTCTTAAGGTACATGGGACCGTTTTCTCTTTTTGTTTTAGCGATCTTAGTGTTCCCTTTACCTGTACATCACAGCAGTTGGGTTATTTAGTTCCCCCTTTGTCTCATTGCTGCTGCTTTGTTCCTCAGGTGCGTTACCCAGACAGGATAACCTTGATTCGGGGGAACCACGAGTCCCGTCAGATCACCCAGGTGTACGGCTTCTATGATGAGTGCCTCCGCAAGTACGGCTCCGTCACCGTCTGGAGATACTGCACCGAGATATTCGACTACCTGTCCCTCTCCGCTATCATCGATGGCAAGGTGAGATACCATGTGACACATTTCCTTTCAAACTGACAACAATGACATTACTGTTTGTGTGGATGTATCTCTACTCTGATAGTCTAGGTGCCAGCTCATAGTCCTTTTGTGCACCCGGAAATGTTGAGTACAACGTTTTGCACTAATGAGCATATGCAGACAATCATTAAAAGAAAATCCCTGGCCGATTTGGACAATTGAGTGTTTTTCAGGTTATTGAGGATGCCGATTCCATTTCTGACATTTTCAGGATCAAAAATGGCAATTTAATCCTGAAACTGGCCATATTTGTACCTCCGGGCTAGCTGATTTTGATGAATTTTGGTCAATTTGAAAGTTTTAGGGGATTATTGATCCTGAAAATGTTCTATGTGCTTATGATGCATACGGTCGGTGCCATCATAAAACGTTGGGGTTCTCAACATTTCCGGGTTAACACCACTGGCATGATGATCTATGATCTCCTCTCTCTCCTGTCAGATCTTCTGTGTGCACGGGGGCTTGTCTCCCTCCATCCAGACACTTGACCAGATCCGCACCATTGACAGAAAACAGGAAGTTCCCCACGACGGGCCAATGTGTGATCTGCTGTGGTCGGACCCTGAAGGTATGCAGGCCCCCCATGCGCCCTGTTAACACACATCTTGGTGAACGTTCAAAGAAACTATCTAATCCTGAAGAGCACAGTTAGTATTTGGATATACAGCAATATAAGGGAGTTAGCATCACAGGTCAACATGGCTGGATGTCACCACTAAACTAGACAGACTAGACTGGTGTAATGACGTTTAGTTGTCTCATTTGGACACTTGTTTTGGAAGCTTCAGACATTCACCAGTGGGGTGTTTACTGAACATGAACGTCTCTTCAGTCTGGGTCTCTTGTGTACGTAGCAATATAAAAAGTTTGCCTTAAGTGAAGCTAATGCAGTAGCACTAAATCTGGTTGGGCTTCTAGATGGGGTATGTACCTGCAGGATTCTTGCTTCCAGTTAGTTTCTTCATTGTAGAATGCACTTATTTTAAGTAGCTTTGGATAGAGGCGTCGGCTAAATGAAATGTAACGTAACCAAAAATGCAAAAAGAAAAACGTTGTTGTCTTAACCCTGTTGCCTGACCTCTGATCTCCCGTCCCTCAGACACCACAGGGTGGGGGGTGAGTCCCAGAGGTGCCGGCTATTTGTTTGGCAGCGACGTGGTGGCCCAGTTCAACGCAGCCAACGACATCCACATGATCTGTCGAGCGCACCAGCTGGTGATGGAGGGCTACAAGTGGCACTTCAACGAGACGGTGCTCACCGTGTGGTCAGCACCCAACTACTGCTACAGGTAGGAAGTAAAACTTTATACTAACGTCTGAGTCTAGTTTCAGGTTTGTGATAAGTTTCACAAATGATCTGACTCCCTTTGATAAAATGAACTGCATTTATGAAGTGCCTTTGAGTCTACCAACTCAAACAACAAACTCACACACTGATCACAGAGGCTAAGCAAGGTGAATGTCCACTCATCTTGATTACCATTGTCTTTAGTTAAACACTAGCTTTTATCTTATGTGCCTTATTCTGGGATGTTTTGCCTTCACACGAACACAGTAACAGCTGGGCAGTGACAGTGTGTCACTACTGAAACATAATGTTAAGATGAGCTGTTTCAAATGGTTTTCTTGTAGAGGTTTTAGCTGAGAAGTGAGCAACATATGCCTCGTGTAATCAGACATATAAGCTGTTTGTCTCTCCTGTCTCACATTGCTATCAACAGTTAAAGTCAGTCAAATAAGCTACATACCATTTTCTACAAAAGAGCCTCACTATATGGAACCAGTCCTTTGGCAGGATACCAAACCCTGAATTGCTCCTAAAGTATGAATGTGTGAATGCTGATTTGTTTATGTAAAAGAGATTTAAGTGGTTGCAAAGACTGAAAAAGCACTTTATAAATGCAGAGCATTTAGCATAAAGAGTGGAACATTTGTCATGGTCAGTTTAATGGGAGGCATGAAGAAATGTGGGAGATGAGTGATCTTCAGATATGGTTAAATATTTAAACATTCAATATACACGAGACCTATTTCACATCACATTAAGTGTTAAAATAGCAGCTCGTAAAACAATCAATGAGTATGTGAAGGTTCTAACCCGGGGACGTTAAACTCATTTTACTTCAGGGGCCACATACATATACATACTTGATCTCAATGAGCCGGACCAGTCAAATCATAGCATAATAACGTATAAATAATGACGACTTCAAATTATTCCATTTGTTTAGTGCCAAAAGTGCATTCTGAAAATGTAAAAATTGAATGAACTATCCTTTTAGAAAACATTACGAAAAACCTGACATTTCTTCATAAAAAAACAAGTTAAACAATGTTGTGACTCAGTTTATCATTTACACATGTGATAACAACTTGCAGATCAGTGTTCCACAAACACATTTAAACACATGTATCTGAAACTGAACAATAGTGTCTTTCATTTAAGATCAAAACAACTTCTTCAAGGTTCTTGACATTATTTTAAATTATATTCCACATCCGTGTAGTAATCCTGACTCGCCACCATACAAACTAAAGTGGGAACTATTCAGGAAGAAGGTTAATCTAACCCCCTGCCTAAATACATAAAAGTTGTGAAAATTGCAATAAGTCTTCTGTCATTTTTACACGATGCAAAGTCATCCGTATATTTGATACCCCTGTTCTAACCGGTCCTGTCTCTTGACAATCAGATGTGGCAACGTGGCGGCCATCTTGGAGCTGGACGAGCATCTACAGCGGGAGTTCATCATATTCGAAGCGGCGCCACAAGAGACCAGAGGCATCCCCTCCAAGAAGCCAGTAGCCGACTACTTCCTGTGAGGGGCTAGAGCAGACAGCAGCGATGAGTGGAGGTCTCCACTGCCACCTCCCAGCCTCCACCCTCCAACATGTCCGCCTGAACTCAAGCCTGCCCGCGGCTGACAGCAGTCCCTGTGAGGCGGACAGACTGCTGTCACTTCATCGTTTTCTCCCCCCTCCGCCTCCTTCCATCTCTCTATTTCTCTGTAGATACTCCACCTAAACTCACCACCACTTGTGGTATTTTTCCACGACGAACATTGTCTTTTAGTTTTAGAAGTTTTATTTTAAATGCAGATGAAGGAAGTTCAACAATTTAAGGAACTCCTTCAATGCATACGTTCTCTTTACTTTAGATTTTTTTTTTGTATAATTGTCGCTTCAGGTGTAAGCTGACCCTCGGCTCACTTTCTTCTCGCTCTTTGTTTCTGTTTCAGCCGTCATGTGCGTCACTATTTAACAGAGCCACTGTCACAGATGATCTGCAGAAATTAAATTAGTGACCAGCAGGGGTCACTGTCACCATTATTTTCTCTTAATTCCTTTTAATCTACAAATCTCTCTAGGTCTGTCAATTTTGATATTGTGAGAATAAAGTTTTTGTATCAATGCTGACTTCTGTAAAGTTGTGGTTTAATGCTTCATTTTGAAAGGGTCAGTTCACCCAAAAAGCTCTGAAGATAAAACTAGCACCACACAACACAAGAACACTGCTAACTAAATCCAAAGTAATGCCATATTAGGAGAAAGCATTTATTTCTGTGCTGATATTGATCTAAGTATTTGCCTGTTTGATGAGACTGTCCCCTAATGAGTCCAACGTATAGTGAGGTTTACTAAATGTAGCAGTCAAAAATGATGATTCATTTTCACTAGACTCACTTGGACATCATATGACAATCTTTCTCATGGAGATATGGAAAAAGCATTGTATCCCACTACAGTGCTTTTGTCTTTAGTGAAACAATTTGTGGAAAAGAGGATATTCCTGTGTGTGTGTGTGTGTGTGTGTGTGTGTGTGTGTGTGTGTGTGTGTGTGTGTGTGTGTGTGTGTGTGTGTGTGTGTGTGTGTGTGTGTGTGTGTGTGTGGGTGTGTGTGTGTGTGTGTGTGTGTGTGTGTGTGTGTGTGTGTGTGTGTGTGGTGTGTGTGTGTGTGTGTGTGTGTGTGTGTGTGTGTGTGTGTGTGGTGTGTGTGTGTGTGTGTGTGTGTGTGTGTGTGTGTGTGTGTGTGTGTGTGTGTGTGTGTGTGTGTGTGTGTGTGTGTGTGTGTGTGTGTGTGTGTGTGTGTGTGTGTGTGTGTGTGTGTGTGGTGTGTGTGAATTACAGTCACAACAAATATGTGAACCAGTTGGAGACACACGCCATTAGGCGCTTTCACACCAAGTACTTTTCCCAGGAATAGTTACCGGAACTATCTACTAAATCGCGTTCACACGGGAATAAGTCCCTAAGGGGGGATTAGGCAAATGAAGCCGCTGACTTCACTTCTTCTGCTTTGTGTTTACTGGCAGGCCACAAACAACTTCACGGCGTATACTGCCACCCGGAGTCCGGGATTTTGGGTGGCAGTAAATCGCCAGAAGCGCCGACTCCTCATCATTCCATGATCCACGTTTTATTTTGTGTTGCCATAAATTAGTCTCTCTCCTTTGGTGCGCTGGGCTAATGCTAATAATGCGAGGAAATAAAATGGCAGCTTCACAAAAACTTTTTGCAATTCGCCCAGCCGATCTGAAATTGGAACCTTTTTCTCTCCAGGAAAGTGCCTGCTATCTAGCAGGGACCGAAAAGGTTCCCGGAAAAAAGAAAAAAAAATGTGGTGTGAACGCAACATCCCAGGAACTATCGGAATTATTTCTGGGAAAAGTACTCCGGTGTGAAAGCGCCTCATGTGCCTAAGCTAATGACACAAACGGTATACTTTATTACTATATTTACTATACTATTTTCAACCTATATATTTTAAGTAAACGTTGCAGTTCTAATTGGTAAAAAATACTGTTACAATAAAAATCATGCATTCAAAATTGTATCAAAATAAATCTTTATACTACCAAAACTAAAATGACTTGTTAAACACAATGGCCCATCTCACAATCAATTATATTAAATTAACAGATTATGATAATTTATGTATTAATGCAGTGGTTCCCAAAGTGGGGGGTGCAGAGGCATGACGGGGGCGCGAGAGACCAGGACGAAAAATGGTTACTTTTTTTTTTAAAGAAAATCATAATTTGAAAAATTATTGATTCGAAAATAATATGATACAGTACTATTACGTCTGGGTCTCTGTGTTTCATTAAAGCTCGTGTGTGTGTGTGTGGAACGAGCGAGCCATTTTGTGTGCGTGCGCGCGAGAGAGCGCACCGGTACCGGAGATCGTTGTTGTTAGCTTCTGGTGCTAGCGAGCTACGCTAACGGATATAAGGAGTTTTGTCAACAACAAAGTGGAGGAGAGTCCTCTCCTGTCAGACTGAGAGGCTCAGTGAACTAAAGGACTCTCAGTGTTACCTCAGTGGGTCTCAAACGTTTTGGTCACCATTAATGTAAACAATTATTTCCGAGGCACACATTTATATGATCATTATAGTTATAAAAAAATAAGAGAATAAATGAAAAACAGGTATGAAATACTATATGGCAGTAAAACAAGAATACAGTTTGAAAGTGGAGTGATTTGTAAAATATCCATAAAGAAAAATGTAATCTGTTTACAGTTCTGTTTCTGAGAGATGTATCTATAGATCTCTTAATTTTGCTCTCAAAGTGCACCAGATTGATGCTTTTAACTTCAATATTTAAAAATAAATCTTCCCGGGGGAGCTTCCCCCCGGACCCCCATATGTGAGGTCCATTCCCCACTTAGAAAAATAGCACTTTACCCCTGCTTACACCTATATGCTGTGAGCCTTCATTGTAACAGTTGCGGGTACATTGTGTATTTGCGTGGGGAGTGTTGCAGTAGAAAATTCCACTGTAGCGACCGGTACATTAATGGGAAACCCTAAATGTTTGAGAACCCTCTATGAAACGTCAAGCTACCCCACAGCACCCCCAAAAGAAATCTCGGGCGCCGCCACTGAGCCTGACTTGTGTTGGGGGGCCCGACTTTTTTTTTTCTCCAAAGCCTGACAGAAAAAGCTTGAGAACCACTGTATTAATGTGTTTATCACAGCTGGTAAAGGTAGAGCTCATTTTAATTACTTTATATACGGCTGCTGTATATCTCAACCTATAATAATATGTCAATGTTTATTAATTAGTTATTATCCAATAATCTGAATCAGGTAAAACTAAAAGAATGAGTAACTTAACGTGTCGGGTGAATATAGTGGAGTAAAAAGTGCTTGTAGTGCAGTAAGAAGTATAAAGTAGCATACATTAAAATACAAGTCATTAAGTTGTCTGGTGTCTGAACACAGCTATTTAAGAGCCACAGTGCAGGTGGTAAAGTAAGTGAACATTTGGATTTAAACCTCCTGAGGCAGTAATAACACACGTGCTTCACGTAGGTCTGTATCAGACCTGCAGAACTACAGGTGAAATGTAGGACCATTCTTCCTCTCAGAACTGCTTCAGCTCAGCCATGTTCTCAGGATGTGAGGTGCTCTTCAGGTCATTCCACAGCATTTCTATTGCTTTAGGTCTGGGCTCTGACTGGGCCACTCCAAAAGCCTTTTTGTAGCAGATTTACTTCCATGTTCAGGGTCAATGTCCTGCTGCATATCCCAACTTCTACCACTCTGTCATTATCCTGTTGGATGTCTTGATGAACTTGGGAATTCATATTTCCTGGGATGATGACATGCCGTCTTGTCCTCTAATCCTGATGCTCCCTCCACTGAACATCACCGCTGGGATGAAGTCTCCAGGTTGGTATGCGGGGCCTTGTTTTTAAGGTGCTGCTGCGTGTCCTTCCTATCATTTAAAACATGTTCCCAGTAGCGCTGCGGAGTGTCTAGGTGCTCTTTGACAAACTTCAGGCACCCGGTGGTGTTTTTGTTGAGCGCAGCTGCTTCCTCTGTGTTTTTCCTGCCATGGACACCATGGGACTTTCTCATTTCACTAACTGGATATATCCAGTCTCTGATAGTGTTACGTTATTATGCTGTGAGTGCTCTCATACTTGTTTGATTCTGAAATTGTATATATATATATATATACACACACACCTATATATATATATATATATATATATATATAGGTGTGTGTGTGTATGTCCGCATCTGTAGCCTGTTATTGTCTCATTATACCGCACTGTGAATGAATCAAAGTAAATATATAAGTGGTCATGAACACATCTGTCCATCAGACAGAGGGCTGCTGTGCCTCCTGTCATCATTAATGGACGTCTCTTTAATATGACCGCTCAGAGGAGAGGAGTTCTCATTTCTCTAACCGCCTGCTGCTTCCCCTCCTCTCTCCTCGGTTCCCCTCCTCGGCTCCTCCGCTCGCATCTCCTGTGGGCGGGACTAAGTCTTGAGGATAGGAGTCGAGGAGGGGAAATGAGTGAAATGAGAAAGGCCCCATGCCTGTTAAAGAGGCCATTTTATTAATTGTAGGGTTCTCCCTCTCCTGTAGTGTGTTATAAAGGTTTTGTGCATGTTAATGGTCTTCAAAGGTCAAAAGAGGTACATTGTTTACTTTTACTCCACTACATGTATTTAATACATGTAAGTACATGTAATACATCTGAGATTTTAAATCTCAGATCTGCTCAGGCGAAACCTGCTTTACAGCTCTCAGCACTCAAGCCTGCATTATTAACATAGGCAGGGCCAGTCTATTGATTGCGTGAAGTAGAACTGCGTGACTCAGTCATCCTTTAGCTCAAAAAGCATTTAAATACCGCATTTAGAAACTGATGAACTCAGTGTGCATCTGGACCCGGTGACAACATTACCTATTGACGCAGCAACCACTGTAAGTTATATTCTTGTTTAATTAGACTTCTCGGTTTCATTTATTCGACTCTGTATAATTGTTACTGTAGCTAAAACGGCTAAATCGCTTTTGAGAGATTTTAAATCTCAGATCTGCTCAGGCGAAACCTGCTTTACAGCTCTCAGCACTCAAGCCTGCATTATTAACATAGGCAGGGCCAGTCTATTGTCGCCCATCAGCTGTAGATAGTTAACTAATTAACTTCAGCTGTGAGAACTGAGCAATCAGGCGTCCATTTCGGGTAGCTCTTTCCTGGAGCGTCAGCTTCAGCGGCAGACAGGCTAAGACTGACAAAGACATTAGAGTCCTACAGGAGTAAGACTGACAAAGACATTAGAGTCCTACGGGAGTCACGAGGGAGGCAAAGAGGAGGCAAATCCTACTTTGATTGAGCTAAGTATCGTTGGCGTTTTTAATTTTTACTTTTGTTGTTTAGCCCCTCATGCTATAATCATGTGTATTTTCTCCATTCCTGTTCATGTGTCTTCTCGCAATTATCACTGGCCCCGTGTATCTCCTAATCAATATAACCGGCCTGCTCTCGTCTATCCCACGTGCTCCACTGAGATCCATCATCTAGTTTCAGGTGGCCTGTGGAACTGCCAGTCAGCTGTTCCTAAGGCTGACTTCATCTCTGGCTACACCTCCCTGCAGTCTCTGGATTTCCTTGCTCTCACTGAGACCTGGATTACTCCATCCAACACATCCACCCCAGCAGCTCTCTCCACTGCATATTCCTTCTCCCATACACCCAGACCCACTGGCAGAGGAGGTGGCACTGGTCTCCTGCTCTCTCCCAAATGGAGCTTTTCCCTCTTCAAGCTACCTAACTTTACTCCTTCCACCTTTGAGTTCCATGCCGTCACAGTAACCCATCCTATACAGTTAACCATTGTTGTTCTCTACCGTCCACCAGGCGCCTTGGGGGACTTCTTGGAGGAATTAGATCATCTCCTCTCACACATCCCTGAAACTGGCCCTCCCGCTGTACTTCTCGGAGACTTCAACCTCCAGATGGGGAAGATAGACGAACTAACATCTCTGTTAACCGCCTTTGCTTTCTCACTCTCTCCGTCCCCACCGACTCATAAAGCTGGCAATGTCCTTGATCTCATATTCTCAAGGAACTGCGCTACTTCTAACCTCTCTGTAAACCCGCTCCACACATCCGATCACTTCTTCATTTCATTCTCTCTATCCCTTTCCAAACATAACAAACTAATCTCTTCCCATCCTACACTTGTCCGCCGTAACCTTCGCTCCCTCTCTCCCTCTACCTTTGCCTCGTCGGTGCTCTCAGCCCTCCCTTCCTCTGATTCGTTCCAACTACTGCCTCCAAACTCTGCTGCAGAAACTCTCCTCTCTACTCTCTCATCCACTCTGGACTCGCTCTGTCCTCTGACATCTCGGCAGGCTCGTCAGTCCCCTCCGGCTCCCTGGCTAAATGATGCACTGCGTGCTAATAGAACCGTCCTTAGGGCAGCAGAGCGGAAATGGTGGAAATCCAAACACCGTGACGACCTCCTAACCTATCAAGCTCTCCTCTCCTCTTTCTCTGCTTTGATCTCTCAGGCAAAAAGCACTTTCTTTCAAGATAAGATCCAATCTTCCTATTCCAATCCTAAAAAACTATTTTCCATCTTCTCCACCCTCTTGGACCCTCCAAAAGCTCCTCCCCCCTCCTCACTTCTGTCAAGCGACTTTGTTACCCACTTTGAAAAAAAGGTTAATGATATTCGCTCTTCTTTTTCTGACTCACCTTTACTCACCGCTGGGTCACCAGACCTTCCTTCCACCAACACACTAACCTCCTTTTCCCCTCTCTCTCCAAGTGAGGTTCTTACCCTCATTACCTCTGCCCGCCCTACCACCTGTCCTCTGGACCCTATCCCTTCAAACCTCCTTCAGACTATCGCTCCTGATATTCTACCGTTTCTCACCCATTTCATCAACACTTCTCTAACTTCTGGTCACTTTCCAAACAGTCTCAAGGAGGCAAGAGTAAACCCTCTCCTAAAGAAACCCACTCTCAACCCGTCTGATGTTATAAACTACAGGCCTGTCTCTCTCCTCCCGTTCCTGTCTAAATCACTTGAACGCGCTGTCTTTAAACAACTCTCCTGTTATCTCCATCAGAACAACCTTCTGGATCCGCACCAGTCTGGTTTCAAGGCAGGTCACTCCACAGAAACTGCTCTCATTGCTGTCACGGAGGAACTGCACACTGCCAAAACTGCATCCCTCTCCTCTGTCATCATCCTGTTGGACCTGTCTGCTGCATTCGACACGGTGAATCATCAGATCCTCCTTCGCACTCTCCAAAAACTTGGAGTTTCTGGCTCTGCACTTTCCCTCCTCACCTCATACCTGAAAGACCGTACCTACAGGGTGACTTGGAGAGGGTCTGAGTCCGACCCTTGTCAATTAACTACGGGGGGTCCCTCAGGGCTCTGTTCTTGGTCCCCTCCTCTTCTCCTTGTACACAAACTCGCTCGGATCAGTCATTAGCCCGCATGGTTTTTCTTACCACTGCTACGCTGACGACACCCAATTAATTCTGTCCTTTCCCCGCTCAGAGACCCAGGTCGTCGCACGCATCTCTGCTTGTCTAGCTGACATCTCTCAGTGGATGTCTGCTCACCACCTCAAGCTCAACCTTGACAAGACTGAGCTGCTCTTCCTCCCGGGAAAAGATTGTCCAACTCTTGACCTGACAATCAACATCGGCACCTCAGTTGTTTCCCCGACTCAGACTGCAAGGAATCTGGGTGTGACCCTAGATAACAACCTGTCCTTCACTGCAAACATCGCTGCTACAACCCGCTGCTGCAGATACACGCTTTACAACATCAGGAAGATACGTCCCCAGCTGACTCAGAAAGCGACTCAGGTTCTGGTCCAGGCTCTCGTCATCTCACGCCTAGACTACTGCAACTCCCTCCTGGCTGGTCTACCTGCATGTGCCATCCGACCTCTGCAGCTCATCCAGAATGCAGCGGCTCGTCTGGTTTTCAACCTTCCTAAATTCTCCCACATCACGCCGCTCCTCCGCTCCCTTCACTGGCTTCCGGTAACTGCTAGAATCCACTTCAAGACACTGGTACTTGCTTACCGTGCTGCGAATGGATCTGGCCCTTCCTACATCCAGGACATGGTTAAACCGTACACCCCAGCGCGTGCACTACGCTCTGCATCAGCCAAACGACTCGTTGCGCCCTCGCTGCGAGGGGGACCCAAGTTCCCATCGGCGAAAACACGTGGGTTTGCTATCCTGGCTCCAAGATGGTGGAATGAGCTCCCCATTGACATCAGGACGGCAGATAGCTTGCACATCTTCCGGCGCAAACTGAAAACTCATCTCTTTCGACTCCACTTCGAGCATTAGAACGATTAACGAAGCACTTTTATACCAATAAAGGACTGGATTACCTAAAGCCAGTTGAGTAACACTTGAAATGTTTGGCTCTATGAAACCTGATATACTTATATGATTCTGTTTTCTTCAAGGTTGTGTCTTCCTGGTCTAATGTACTTATTGTAAGTCGCTTTGGACAAAAGCGTCAGCTAAATGCAATGTAATGTAATGTAATGTAATGTAATACCTTTAGTTACTTCACAGATGTGGATGAATGATGTGAAATATAATCAAGTGTTGAATCAGACTTTAGTTCCACCTGGAGTAAATCCACCAGCTACCCTGCAGTATACAAAGTCATTCAAACTAGCTGCACCTTCACCAGCTTTGAGAACACTTTCATGATCAATCATTATAAAACATATCATATATATTATTCTGACATGGACCAATCTGCACAATCACTAGCTGACTTTTGGTACTTAATATATTTTGATGCTAATATTTTTATACTTTTACTTGAGTAACATTTTGAATGCAGGATTTTTACTTGTAACAGAGTATTCCTACTCTCTGGTACTTGTTATTTTACTCAAGTACAAGATCAGAGTACTTCTCCCACATCTGTTTAAGCGTTGATTAAATTATATTTATTAATCCAAATCTGCAAAGTAACTAAATCCACTACATAAATGTAGTGGAGTAAAATTACACTGTTTGCCTTAGAATTGTAGTACAGAAGAAGTAGGCTACAGAGTAGCATACATTGAAATACTCAAGTTAAGTACAAGTATCTCAAACTTGTAATTAAGTACAGTACTTGAGTACATGTAGGCTACTTCGTTACTTCCCACCTCTGTTGACTTTCACTTGACTTTGATTATGAATGGAGGACTTTCTCTTGTAACGAAGTACTTTTAAAATGTAGTATTGCTACTTTAACTAAAGTAGCAAATCGGAGAGTACCACTAGTTATCACGGTTATCACCTTGATAAATGTTCGACATCATTTCTAGCTGTCCCTTACCGGGCTCCGTAGTTAGTGTAGCAATAGCTCGCCCGGTGTGTCTCTCGCCCGGTGTGTCTCTCACCTGGTGTGTCTCTCGCCTGACAGGTTGGAAGCTCGTTTTTCAGGCTGAACCAAAACCTCCCCCCCACACCCTGTCACAGGAGCTGTTAGGTCGACCGGTGTTAGAAAAGAGAACAATCCCGGGAACACTCTAGAAACTTAAACGTCCTCCCTACCATCTCCTCGGAACACAGCAGCAGGTAACGTTACTCTCTTTCGGCTTCAACTCCTCCTGGTGCTGGTAAACCGACGTTTGTGTGAAAGGCTTCATGGAAATTAAGTGTCAATTCTCGGATATACTGTTAGAACTGGATTTTTAAAATTTAATCTATTAAAATTAAGAGCCTCGCCCATCTACTTCCGACATTTGGTCCTTATTTTGGAAAAATTATGTTTGAAGTCAATGGAGAGAGAAAGATTATCTTTCGATCCCGTTTGAATTGTGCCACGAATTACACATAGCCTAGGCTATGATGTTTGTCAATCTTAAAAAAAAAAAAAAAAGTCACAGTTTGTCGTAAAACTGTTGAAATATAAGACTATGAAAAATACGCAACTAAAAAGACTACAAGTCCCAGAATCCCGGTCCCGCATGCTGGCTCTCTGTGTATGGACAGCTCTCAACCTTTATATATACAGTCTATGCTCTCAACCTGCTCTCAACATGCCTAGACTTCTAGTGATTGTCACCTCGTTTAATACTTTTTGCCTCATTCTGTTTTATTTTTTTAAAGTAGCTCTCATCCTAAAAAAGGTTGGAGACCCCTGTTATAGAACGATACATTTGACAGTTTTAAGCTTGGCCTAACATTTTATTAACCCACCTGTTCAAAGTGGGGAATGACAGACATTTTTGGAGAACCACTGCCCTAAGCACCCCCAATAAATGTATGTGTTGTGGTGGAACATTATGGGACATAATTCACCGTGGTATATAGTGTGTGTTGCACCACAGACCTGTTGGAGAGTGTACCTTGTTGTTGTTATCATTCTAGCTTGACAGTAGCAGGTAGCAAGTAGCAAGTTATTCTTTCCTCTGTAAATCTAATGGAAAATAAAGTGTGGAGTTCCATACTAAACACGCCGCCTCCGACTCCCATTCATCGGCTCTACAGTGTCTTTTTGTTGTTGTTGTGAAATTCATAATTTGAAAAATGATTGATTCGAAAATAATATGCTACAGTAGAAGTACTTCTGGGTCTCTGTGTTTCATTCAACCTCGGCTCTGTGTGTGTGCGGCACGAGCCATTTTGTGTGCGTGCGCGAGAGAATGAATGAAAAACAGGTATGAAACAAGAATAGAGTTTAAAAGGGGAGTGATTTGTAAAATATCCATAAAGAAATAGAAAATCTGTTTACAGTTCTGTTTCATGGGTGTTGAGAGATGTATCCATAGATCTCTTCATGTTGCTCTCAAAGTGCACCAGATTGATGCTTTTAACTTCAATATTTAAAAAAAGAAATAGGAAACCCCACATGTTTGAGCACCCTCCATGAAACGTCAAGCTACCCCACAGAACCCCAAAAAGAAAATCTCTGGCGCTGCCACTGCGTGGGTTACATTTAAAATGTGCCACCTGCTGCCTCAGTGTGCACCAGGAAATAGCACAAATTACATTTCTGCTGTTCTGCCGAAGTGGACCTGAAGTAAAGAGTTCCTTACTCTGGAAGACACGTCATAATACACAGGGTATTTTAGCCTTTTCACATAATTTACATGCAAATAAAACCTATAGAACACACCACTGGAAAGGGAGGACCCCAAAAAGCAAAATAGGGCCTCTTCAATGTATATATTTCTGTTAAACATGCTTTTTTGTTTGTGTGTGTTTTTCAGGTGAAAGGATGGAGACCCACAGCCAGATTCTGGACAGGTTGCGTTCTGCTTTTCGGTCCGGTATCACGGTACCAGAGGCGTTCCGTCAAGCTCAGCTAAAACAGCTCATGTCCCTGATGACAGAAAATGAAGATCAGATTTTAGATGCAATGAAGAAAGACCTCGCCAAGGTACAACACTGCTCACTCATGTGACACACACACACACACACACACACACACACACACACACACACACACACACACACACACACACACACACACACACACACACACACACACACACACACACACACACACAGCTACATACACAAACCACACATCTTTACACAACCAGCCAAAGGCCTGGCAGCGTGACGCAGCAGCCGTCCCGATGATGGTTAAACTGAACATGTTCTATAGCGGCTCTCAGCCCCCACCCTGGAGACCGTAGAGTGAGTCAGCATTTTATAGTGTTTTTTAACACTAGTTGGATGCCTGAAATTAAGGTTGTAAAATGTCATTATTACAAGCTTACAAGTTCTTTTGATTTTGTTCTACAACATAAAATACGGCCTTAAATACCAGACTGGAAAAAATCCCATTAGCTTTTTGTCAAGGCCGCCTCTAATACTTTCTAGAGCAGGGGTGTCCAAACTACGGCCCGGGTGCCAACTGCAGCACCCGGGCCTATACTTTTAGGACCAAAAGTATAATGGAATATGGCCCACACCTGAAACTTGTGCTTGTCTTATATTGTACTACTTAAATAGATATATATTTACACTGAACAAAAATATAAATGCAACACTTTTGTTTTTGCTCCCATTTTTCATGAGATGAACTCAAAGATCTAAAACATTTTCTACATACACAAAATAACCATTTCTCTCAAATATTGTTCACAAATCTGAAAAAATCTCCTTTGCCGAGATAATCCATCCCACCTCACAGGTGTGGCATATCAAGATGCTGATTAGACAGCATGATTATTGCACAGGTGTGCCTTAGGCTGGCCACAATAAAAGGCCACTCTGAAACGTGCAGTTTTGCTTTATTGGGGGGGTCTGGGGGGGTCCGAAAACCAGTCAGTATCTGGTGTGACCACCATTTGCCTCACGCAGTGCAACACATCTCCTTCGCATAGAGTTGATCAGGTTGTTGATTGTGGCCTGTGGAATCTTGGTCCACTCCTCTTCAATGGCTGTGCGAAGTTGCTGGATATTGGCAGGAACTGGAACACGCTGTCGTATACGCCGATCCAGAGCATCCCAAACATGCTCAATGGGTGACATGTCCGGTGAGTATGCTGGCCATGCAAGAACTGGGATGTTTTCAGCCTCCAGGAATTGTGTACAGATCCTTGCAACGTGGGGCCGTGCATTATCATGCTGCAACATGAGGTGATGGTCGTGGATGAATGGCACAACAATGGGCCTCAGGATCTCGTCACGGTATCTCTGTGCATTCACAATGCCATCAATAAAAGGCACCTGTGTTCGTCGTCCATAACATACGCCTGCCCATACCATAACCCCACCACCACCATGGGCCACTCGATTCACAACATTGACATCAGAAAACCGCTCACCCACTAGGGGTGTAACGGTTCACAAACATTTCGGTTCGGTACGTACCTCGGTTTTTTGGTCACGGTTCGGTTCGGTACGTTTTCGGTACAGCAGAATTTTTTTTCACAAAATAAAACATATATATATATATTTTTTAAATTATTATTAAACTGTGAATAATGTATTCACTCAAATAAATACAAAATATAATAAAATAAACATTAAGGTGCAGCATTTCGATGAACTGAAATAATCTGTATTTGAACTTTAATGTAGGCTACTAGTACTCACAAAACATAAACTATTAGATTTGGGTTTTTTATTTTTTATTAAACTGTGAATCTTCACTACAAAAAATATAAAATAAAATAAAATAAACATTAAGGTGCAGCTTTTCGATTCACTGAAATAATCTGTATTTGAACTGTACTGTACCTGAGCAGCCAGGTTGACATTAGGACTTGCTTGTCATTGTATTTTCATGTTTTTTTAAAGAAAGATGAACTTGTCCACATTGCTTGCCGAAAGGGCAGATCTGCTGGCACTAACAATGTCTCCTGCTGTGGAGAACACCCTCTCTAGGGACAGAGGTAGCCGATACAGCCAGGTAGCGCTTTGCTAACATGGCAACATAAGGATATTTGGTGTTTGTAACAGCTTTGGCTCGGTCTGAACTCTCTGCGAGTGGTGGAGGCTTACATGCTAGCGGGAGTTGGGTTTGCAGTTCAGTCTTTTTTTCTTTTGGTACCGGTGATATTCACGTTCGGGTGATGCCTTTTCAAGAGTGTGCTAGCTTGATGTATTGCCAGCCGCGTAACCAATTTTAGTTGAACAATGCCGACAAACAGCTTTGGTTCGGTCCACCTGTCTTTGTCCTTCATCCTTGTACGTAACTGCGAAACCAAAATGTTCTCAAACCGGAGACTTCAATGATGCTGGAGGATTTTCGAGCTCAACTTTATCTGCGTTTGCCATTAATTTTCGACAGTTCCTCAAATTACTGACTACATTTGAACGCATCCCTCTGACCAGCTCTCATAGTATGCCTCGCATCCAATTAAATGACTTGCTCGCTCTATGACGCGTTGAACCCAATGTGAGCAAATTACTCTGAATGCTGCGACGCAGCACCTGAGATTACTTCCAAAAAGTTGTTCACGTTCTCAATTTTTTACGTTTAACGTTATATTCGTTCGGTACACTTCGGTACACACCTGTACCGAACCGAAGGGCCCGTACCGAATAATTTCGGTACGGGTACGTGTACCGTTACACCCCTATCACCCACACAACGCCACACACGCTGTCTGCCATCTGCCCTGAACAGTGAAAACCAGGATTCATCCGTGAAGAGAACACCTCTCCAACGTGCCAGACGCCATCGAATGTGAGCATTTGCCCACTCAAGTCGGTTACGACGACGAACCGGAGTCAGGTCGAGACCCCGATGAGGACGACGAGCATGCAGATGAGCTTCCCTGAGACGGTTTCTGACAGTTTGTGCAGAAATTCTTTGGTTATGCAAACCGATTGTTGCAGCAGCTGTCCGAGTGGCTGGTCTCAGACGATCTTGGAGGTGAACAGGCTGGATGTGGAGGTCCTGGGCTGCGGTTGTGAGGCCGGTTGGATGTACTGCCACATTCTCTGAAACCTCTTTGGAGACGGCTTATGGTAGAGAAATGAACATTCAATTCACGGGCAACAGCTCTGGTGGACATTCCTGCTGTCAGCATGCCAATTGCACGCTCCCTCAAAACTTGCGACATCTGTGGCATTGTGCTGTGTGATAAAACTGAACATTTCAGAGTGGCCTTTTATTGTGGCCAGCCTAAGGCACACCTGTGCAATAATCATGCTGTCTAATCAGCATCTTGATATGCCACACCTGTGAGGTGGGATGGCTTATCTCGGCAAAGGAGAAGTGCTCACTATCACAGATTTTTTCAGATTTGTGAACAATATTTGAGAGAAATGGTTATTTTGTGTATATAGAAAATGTTTTAGATCTTTGAGTTCATCTCATGAAAAATGGGAGCAAAAACAAAAGTGTTGCATTTATATTTTTGTTCAGTGTAATATATATCACACAGTAGTGTTCATGTGGTTATAAGCCCACTTTTCAAATAAATTCAGTCAATTAAAGCTAAAAACATTTTTATTGATGCAAAAAAGCCCAATATGTTATTTACATAGCTTGCTTGAAATATTCCCTTCATATATCCCCTTATTATAATCAATCTGAAGCCTCTGTTTTAAGGAACGAGCTGCTAACACTTTTTGTAACTAAATAAATGAAATCCTTTGGAGAGCTGTTTATTTTCTTAAAGCATATTCAAGTATCGAGGCCTTTGTATGTTTTTCTGTATGTGGCCCTCAGTGAAAAATGTTTGGACTCCCCTGATCTAGAGCAGTGTTTCTCAAACTTTTTCATACCAAGGACCACTTAACCAATACAATACACTCACGGACCACCTAACTCCCCAAATATCCCACAACAATAGGCCTGCTTACCACTCCAATAACAAAGTAATAATAATAAATAATAATAATGTATTACATTTTTTATTAGAGCGCTTTTACAGGTGCTCAAAGCGCTTTACATTACACATATTAGACATGTAAATGCGGGTGAAGTGTCTTGCCCAAGGACACAACGGCCTGACGCAGTGGCGGCCGAGGCGGGATTCGAACTGGAGTTCACCAACGCCCCTTGATCTGATGACCAACGCTCTAACCACTGCGCCAAAACCACCCCTAGTACAGCCTAATAATGACAGCTTAACCTTCTAACCTCGCCACACATTAAATCAACAATACATTAAATCAACAATACAAATACAGTGGGGCAAAAATGGATTTAGTCAGCCACCAATTGTGCAAGTTCTCCCACTTAAAAAGATGAGAGAGGCCTGTAATTTTCATCCTAGGTACACTTCAACTATGAGAGACAGAATGGGGGGAAAGAATCCAGGAAATCACATTGTAGGATTTTTAATGAATTAATTGGTAAATTCCTCGGTAAAATAAGTATTTGGTCACCTACAAACAAACAAGATTTCTGGCTCTCACAGACCTGTAACTTCTTCTTTAAGAGCCTCCTCTGTCCTCCACTCGTTAACTGTATTAATGGCACCTGTTTGAACTCGTTATCAGTATAAAAGACACCTGTCCACAACCTCCACTATGGCCAAGACCAAAGAGCTGTCAAAGGACACAAAATGGTAGACCTGCACCAGGCTGGGAAGACTGAATCTGCAATAGGTAAGCAGCTTGGGTGAAGAAATCAACTGTGGGAGCAATTATTAGAAAATGGAAGACATACAAGACCACTGATAATCTCCCTCGATCTGGGGCTCCACGCAAGATCTCACCCCGTGGGGTCAAAATGATCACAAGAACGGTGAGCAAAAATCCCAGAACCACACGGGGGGACCTAGTCAATGACCTGCAGAGAGCTGGGACCAAAGTAACAAAGGCTACCATCAGTAACACACTACGCCGCCAGGGACTCAAATCCTGCAATGCCAGACGTGTCCCCCTGCTTAAGCCAGTACATGTCCAGGTCCGTCTGAAGTTTGCTAGAGAGCATTTAGATGATCCAGAAGAGGATTGGGAGAATGTCATATGGTCAGATGAAACCAAAATAGAACTTTTTGGTAAAAACTCAACTAGACGTGTTTGGAGGAGAAAGAATGCTGAGTTGCATCCAAAGAACACCATACCTACTGTGAAACATGGGGGTGGAAACATCATGCTTTGGGGCTGTTTTTATGCAAAGGGACCAGGACGACTGATCCGTGTAAAGGAAAGAATGAATGGGGCCATGTATCGTGAGATTTTGAGTGACAACCTCCTTCCATCAGCAAGGGCATTGAAGATGAAACGTGGCTGGGTCTTTCAGCATGACAATGATCCCAAACACACCGCCTGGGCAACGAAGGAGTGGCTTCGTAAGAAGCATTTCAAGGTCCTGGAGTGGCCTAGCCAGTCTCCAGATCTCAACCCCATAGCAAATCTTTGGAGGGAGTTGAAAGTCCGTGTTGCCCAGCGACAGCCCAAAAACATCGCTGCTCTAGAGGAGATCTGCATGGAGGAATGGGCCAAAATACCAGCAACAGTGTGTGAAAACCTTGTGAAGACTTACAGAAAACGTTTGACCTCTGTCATTGCCAACAAAGGGTATATAACAAAGTATTGAGATGAACTTTTGTTATTGACCAAATACTTATTTTCCACCATAATTTGCAAATAAATTCTTTAAAAATCAGACAATGTGATTTTCTGGAATTTTTTTCTTCTCATTCTGTCTCTCATAGTTGAGGTATACCTAAGATGAAAATTACAGGCCTCATCTTTTTAAGTGGGAGAACTTGCACAATTGGTGGCTGACTAAATACTTTTTTGCCCCACTGTACATATTATATAAGCATTTAGTTCAAATGCGATTTAAATTGCTCATAGGTTTTTACACCTCTTATAAAATGTAGACTACATTTATTACGGAGTTTATGTCCGAGCCGACAGACTCTCAGATCGTTGGCTACTGAGAGAAATGCAAAATACACCGCATGTAGTACGACACAAACCTCCGCTGTGGATTTTCAAAACGAAATACAGTAAAACTATGGTCGCAGGCCCAAGTTTAACACTCTCAGGTCTAAGCCATGTTTTCACATGTTAGACTCGCCTGGGCTTTTTTTGTAAAAATGCTATTAAAACATGAACCTTGGTGACAATCGGGCTGGCCTGCATGGTCTGCCTACAAAACAAAAATAAAAGAGTTTTTGCAGCCCCAACAACAGCCTCTGATCATCAACAGACTTCATGCAATGCTTCATCGGATGCATATTTAGATAATAATCTCTATCTCACTCCTAACATCTAAATCTACTTCCAGCATGGATAAATGTTCATTTCAAATGTGAAATTTTACCAATACACTCACGGACCACTGGGAGGCGTTCACAGACCACCAGTGGTCCGAGGACCACACTTTGAGACACACTGATCCAGAGGAACCTCACCCACCAGCTGAACCTGTGGACCCATTCTCTAACACCCCACATGCGGGATACCCACTTAAAGTTTCAGCCAAAAGGCGATTGTGTCGAGGGAGCCCTTGTGATGCTCACTATTAACGAAGTGAATGATGGAAGTTAAAATGCGACCTACTGTAGGATGTATCTTCCCTTTCTAGCTGATCATTATTAACCTTCAGTTTGGGGGTTTGCAGCCCTGAATATTATGAAGAACTAACCTGCCTCTCTTATTGTTGTTCTTGCACTTCAGCCCAAATTTGAGTCCGTCATAGCTGAGGTGGATATGGTGATCAATGAGCTGCACTTCACCATCGCTAACCTGAACAGCTGGATGCAGCCGGAGTACGTCAGCAAGAACCTGGTAGGGTTAATATAGCATTTATTAAACCTGGCTATTGCAAGGCAAGGCCAGTTTATTTATATAGCACCTTTCAACACAAAGCAATTCAAAGTGCTTTACAAAAACGAAAGACATTAATAAAATGTCATTTAAAATCATTAAAAAGATAATAAAATAAACATTAAAAGAAAAAATACATGGATAAAAGTTACAGTGCAGTTTAAGATATGAACAGCTCAATTAAAAGCAGCGACAAAAAGAAAAGTCTTCAGCCTGGATTTAAAAGTAGTCAGAGTTGCAGCGGACCTGCAGGTTTCTGGGAGTTTGTTCCAGATATTTGGAGCATAATAACTGAACGCTGCTTCTCCATGTTTAGTTCTGACTCTGGGGACAGAAAGCTGACCAGTCCCTGAAGACCTGCGAGATCTGGATGGTTCATAATTTAGCAGGAGGTCAGAAATGTAATTTGGGCCTAAACCATTCAGTGCTTTATAAACCAGCAGCAGTATTTTGAAATCTATTCTTTGACACACAGGAAGCCAGTGTAAAGACTTCAGAACAGGAGTGATGTGATCCACTTTCTTAGTGTTAGTGAGGACTCGAGCAGCAGCGTTCTGAATTAGCTGCAGCTTTCTAATAGATTTTTTAGTGAGACCTGTGAAGACACCATTACAGTAGTCCAGTCTACTGAAGATAAAAGCATGGACAAGTTTTTCCAAATCCTGCTGTGACATTAGTCTTTTAATCCTAGATATATTCTTTAGGTGATAGTAGGCTGATTTAGTAACAGTTTTAATGTGAATTATTATTCGGTCCTCGAAAAAATGTATGATTGTAAAGTGTATATATATATACCCACAAAAAATAGTTTTCCTTTGCTCTATCATTTATTTGTCTTTGTCCATTTTCAGGCCACAAAGCTAGATGATTGTTTTGTGCGGAGGGAGCCGTTGGGGGTGGTGTTGATCATCGGCCCATGGAACTACCCCCTGCAGCTCCTCCTCTCACCTCTGATCGCAGCCATTGGTGCAGGTATGGTCCACACCCGTATCACCACAGTATTACAGTTTTTAAAGCAACTAACATACACATCAATACCGCAGACACGCCTATGGGAGAAAGACCCTCTGATAGGATGCCTATTTTACCCCTGGGCCACGGCTGCCAAATATACAATATAGTGACCTAAAGTGAACTGGAAGCGCGAAAACTCATTTTAGGGTTTAAAGACTAATTTCCACACCACTGAGTGTAAAAGTTACTAAATTAACCAGCTAGTCTCTGACTGTAATCTTTCACGGTAAACAGCTGCATGTTGTTGGCAACAACAACATGATGAGAGCATTGATAGAGTACCAAAAAGGCCAGAAATAAGTTACTATTTTAGCAATTCCAGGTTCCATGTCCCTTTCAACGGTGTTTCGAATGAGTTTCTGCTCAGCGGTTGCTGAAATGAGACTACAAAACGTCATTACTCCAAACATTAGCCCCCTTTAGCTTAGCGGAGGTGATGTGAAGTCATGTGACCGCAATGTAGTTTGTTTGTAGCCAATGTTTTATTACTTCTGCTGATTGCAATTAAGCTTCAACTATTATAAAAGTGGTGTTTATCCTGCTGAACATGTTGGTATCATTAAAGCGTGTTTGCCACAGATCTTATTTTCTGCAATATTACACACTTCAATCAGACATGTGATCCATTTTGATTATACATTATGTATTGTTCCAGCTGTAGGTCGAAGTGCCACAAAGTTAGCGGCTTGGTTATTCACTTGTAGTGCGTCTGTATCTTAGTTATCTATTGGCAAGAGATGAGTTAGTAGGTCAGTGTAAGGGTGTCCTGGTTGTACAGACAGGCTGCCAGCTCAGAGTGGATCCTGAGAGATTATTTTACATCAAGTATGTAGCTTCTTGTGTAATAAACGTCATTGATCTGTTTAATGTGTTGTTGAGACAAAAGCATGTCCTTACTTGACACCATTATACATCTACTTCCTCATTCTTCTGTAAAGGTCATTATTCATCAAGACACTCTGTTCCAATGTAATAGGCAGTTGTCAAAACAAGAAACCTGATCCTAAACATGTGTAGTATATGTGCTGCCTTTTTATAGGGTCCCTGATATAGTGTTGAGGGGCTCCACATGCACAGACTGCAAAGATAACACGTGGCTTAGGATCTTACTCTGGGCATTTCTCACCTCCTGAAACAGGTCGTGTGGATTTCTGCTTCCTGTACTGACTGAGAAATGTTGTTGTCTAGGTAACTGTGCCATCCTCAAGCCTTCAGAGGTCAGCGCCGCCACAGATGCTCTTGTCGCAGAGCTCATCCCAAAATATATGTCTCAGGTAAAGCAACAGCAAGATTGTACATGGTTTGAATCCAGGAAGTATAACACTAAGGCTCTCCTGTCAACAGAAGGATTAGAATCTTTATTTGTGACTCATGCTAAATACTCTGTTACAAGTAAAGTCCTGCATTCAAACTCTTTCTTAAGCAAAAGTATTTACATCAAAATGAACTTAAAGTACAATGAACAGTAATCTAATCACACTCTCGCAGACTTTTCCGGTGATTCTAAAGTAGATGACAATGTATGTGTGTCGCTTAAGAGGAAAAGATGCCTGGTTTTTTGTTGTTGTTATTACTGTCAGGAAATGTACAACCTAACCCTGGTCCGCCCAGTAGTGGTAGTCAGATCGCTACTCCTGCTGATTTTAAAGCTAGATCTGGGTTGGGTTTCATCCACTTGAATGTGCGCAGTCTGTTAGGTAAACTAGATTTTGTCTGTATCTGGGCGAGCTCGACTGACGCTGACGTCATTGTCTTATCAGAGACGTGGCTAAATAAATCTATTTTGGCCTCTGACATTGCCTTAAATGGTTTTAATGTGTATCGTACCGACCGGCCTAATAAAGGTGGTGGCGTTGCCATTTATGTTAAGAATAAGTTCAGTGTAACCGCTGTAGTTTCCAAATCGATCAGTAAGCAATTTGAATTTTTAGCCTTAAATATAGAAGTGGCAAAGGGTCAACAGGTCATGGTCGTGGGCTGTTACAGACCCCCCTCAGCTGTCAAAGACTCCTTGTCTTCACTAGCAAATATGTTATCGCAACTAGACTACAAGGAAATAGTGCTACTTGGAGATTTTAACTGGGACTGGTTAACTGCAGTGTCAGAGGATTTTAAAAACCTTTGTATCTCTTTAAATGTTACTCAGATTGTTGACAGTCCTACTCGCCCTAATATTAAGTCCCCTAATAAATCCTCCCTAATTGATCTCATTTTAACTAATGTTCCCTATAAATACTCAGCTGTGGGAGTATTTACGAATGATCTGAGTGACCACTGTGTTGTAGCCACAATTAGGGACACTAAGGTCCAAAAGGTTAAACCTCGTATTATCATCAAGAGAGACATAAAACATTTTGTGGAGCAGGGTTTTGTGCATGATCTGTTTGGGTTTGATTGGGGTAAAATCGATCTGTGTGCTGATGTAGAAACCGCATGGTCTTATTTTTATCTTGGTTTTATGGAAATTATAGATAGACATGCACCTCTGCGTACATTTAGAGTGAAGGGACGAAACAATCCTTGGTTTTCTGCTGAATTATCTATTCTCCTACATGAGAGAAACAAGGCCTGGGCAAAGGCTAGGAATTCAGGCTCAGAGGTAGAATGGCTGCGTTTTAGGCAGCTAAGAAATAGCTTCACTTCACATGTCAAAAGTGCTAAATCTAAGTATTATCTGTCAGTTACCACAAAGAACCTGAACAACCCTAGAAAATTCTGGAAAGCCATAAAATCGATATCCACCGGTGATATCCGTAATGAGCTACCTCTGTGCCTTACCACAGTATCTGGCACTATATCGGATAGGACCACCATACTAAATTGTTTTAATGAGCATTTTGTGTCCTGTGGCTCTCTGTTTCATTCTGTTTCTAATTCTGCTTCTGTGAACACCACAGTCGGTGACTCAGAACAATGTGGTCTGGAAAACCCCTTCAGTTTTACTCCTTTTACTGTTGATGTTGTTCGTGAAGTCTTAACCAAGCTAGATCCTAAAAAGCCGGCTGGTCCGGACAACGTAGAACCTTTCTTTTTAAAGATAGCTGCAGATTTTATTGCTCCACCTCTTACTACTCTTTTTAACCTCTCCCTCAGCACGAACAAAATCCCAAAAGTATGGAAGTCAGCTTATGTCCTGCCACGACTAAAAGGAGGGGAGGCCACCTTATTAAACAATTATAGACCCATCTCTAAGTTGTCAGTTCTGGCCAAGGTTCTTGAACGCCTAGTGAGTGAACAGGTAAAGGAGTTTTTATGTAACAATGACATCCTGTCTAAACATCAGTCAGGCTTCAGAAAGCAACATAGCACCATCACTGCCACAATGAAAGTGGTAAATGATATTACGAGTATTTTAGATAATAAGCAGAGTTGTGCAGCTCTATTTGTTGACCTATCCAAAGCTTTTGATACTGTCGATCATCGCATTTTGAAGCAAAGGCTGGTCAGTATAGGCATGTCCAGCCATGCAGTGGGGTGGTTTGTAAACTACCTCTCTGAAAGATCCCAATGTGTTCAGTTTGATGGGCTGTCTTCTGAGTGGTTAACCATCACTAATGGTGTTCCTCAAGGTTCAGTTTTAGGTCCGCTATTATTCTCGATCTATATTAATAGTTTAGGTGAAAATGTCGAAGGAGCAACCTTACATGTTTATGCGGACGATACCGTTATGTACTGTGCAGGTCCCTCGATTAACGAGGCTGTTGTTAAATTACAGGCTGTTTTTAACATTATTCAGGCTCAGCTCTCTGAGCTTAAGCTTCTTTTAAATGTGGATAAAACCAAGGTAATGCTCTTTTCTAAAGCTAAAGCTAAAAATACACCAGAGACTGCTTTGGATATTGTAACTACGCAAGGAATACAACTTGAAGTGGTTACCTGTTACAAATACTTGGGTATCTGGCTTGATGACTGTCTCACTTTTAAACGTCATGTCAATAACCTGCTTAAAAAGCTGAGGGTTAGGCTAGGTTTCTTTTTCAGAAATAAGTCCTGTTTCTCGCTTGAGGCCAGGAAAAGGCTAGTCACTGTGACCTTTTTACCTGTGCTGGATTATGGTGATTTGTTATATATGAATGCACCTGCCAATTACCTGAGCAAGTTAGATGCTGCTATCACAGTGCACTGAGATTTTTGACAAATTGTAAAGCACTTACGCATCACTGTACCCTGTATACCAAGGCGGTTATGCCATCACTTACTGTACGGAGGCTCAGTCACTGGTACATTTTCATTTACAAAGCCATGTTGGATAAACTACCATCTTATATCTGCTCCCTGATCTCTCTGCGAATTGAAAGTACTTATTGCCTGAGATCGCATGCTGTGGTTTTATTAAATGTGCCAAGTGCTAGGACTGTCTTAGGGAAGAAAGCTTTTAGATGTGCAGCTCCACTAACATGGAACAGTCTGCAAAAAGAATGGAAAATTACCACGCTAGTACCACTACATGTTTTTAAAGCTCGGTTGGTTGCTACAAAATCAGATGCTGTTGGTACCTGTACTTGTGGTTAGATATGTAAATTGTAATCCCTGTACATTTTGCTGTATCATGTCCTTTTGTTGTTCTGTTGTTTATGTCTTCTTGTGGAACCTACTGCTGCAGGTCTCCCTTGAAAAAGAGATCATTGATCTCAATGGGATTTTACCTGGATAAATAAAGGTTTTGAATTGAATTGAAATACACAGTATATATGTACAGTACTTTGTATGATCCTGTGCTACAGGACTGTTATGCTGTAGTCCGCGGGGCAGCAGAGGAGACCAAGGCTCTACTGAAGAACCGATTCGACCACATCTTCTACACAGGTAAACAATGAGTCATTCTTCTCATATGTCCTTTACACAAAATATCACAAAGTGGACTTGAGCTAAGAACATATCAAGGCTAAGATCCAAAAAACACCACTGCTATCAACAGATTTGGGTTAGAAGTTTATATAATGAACAATTTATCGAGGGTGCGCAACACGAATCCATCTACACTCATGTGGTTCATGCAGTAAAAACTCATGTTGTCTGTATACCCAGTGCATTCAACTGATCAAAGCTGTTTTGATGGTTTCAGCTGTAAGAGGAAGACAGTGTTTTGTCTTTATTTCAAAATAACATAGTCTGCTGTTATCACCCTGCATTTAATTAACTTCTGTTATTGATCTACCATTTTTATTTTCATCCGTTCACATTCCTGTCAAGGTCATTAGCATCTTTAGAGGCAAGTTTTAACCAAGTCTTTGAATATTGGAGAATTTAAATCTGTCTTTCATTTGACTAAGCTGTGATGGAGGACTGGAGGCGGGGCTTAAGGAAAATGCAAGTGTGCCTGGTCTAAGATTCCTGGGTATTTGTTGTACCTACAGTCAGTCCATATTTAGTTTCATGCGCTACTGAGCAACTTTCATAGGAAAGAACGAAGTCCCGCCTCATACGTGTTTCTATCTCTCTCTATGCTCCCATGCTTCGATCACTTGGTCTGGAGCTACATATCTGGAGTACTAGCAGCCACATTATCATAAGCTCATGAACCCTTCCCTCTGACTCAGGTTCTCAGGCCGTGGCTCGCCACATCCTGCATGCGGCCGCGGACCACCTGACCCCTGTGACCTTGGAGCTGGGTGGGAAGTGTCCGTGCCTGATATACGGTAAGGTGAACATCACCTACGCCGCGCGCCGGCTGGCCTGGTCAAAGTTCTTTAACACGGGCCAGAGCTGTGTGGCTCCGGACTTCTTGGTGTGCTCGAAGGCCACCAGGGACGCCCTGCTGCCCGCACTGAGACAAACCCTGGAGGATTTCTACAGCAAGGAGCCCGAGAGCTCCGCCGACCTGCCACGCATCGTGTCCCCAAGACACTGGACCCGACTCATGGAGCTGCTCAAGAGGTCCAAGGGAAAGGTGGTGATGGGAGGAGAGAGCAACGAGGAGAACAAGTACATCGGTGGGTAGAGAAACAAGTAAATGAACATTTTGTTCAGATTAGTGGGAAAGTGAGTCGCAAAACGGTGTGTAAAATGCAAAACACACATGGACTTGAGATCCACAAATAAAAACTGGATTCACAAATGCTTGATCGAAAGTTTAGAAAGATATTCGCTTTTTTAATATATTCACATATATTCTTTTATTTGTGGAACTTGAAGAATGTTGTGTTTATAAATCTCTTTGCTTGTGTCAGCTCCCACAGTGCTGGTGGACGTGGCTGAAGATGACGCTCTGATGGAGGAGGAGATCTTCGGCCCCTTCCTGCCCATCCTCACCGCAGAGACTCTGGAGGAAGCCATCGCCTTAATCAACCGTCAAGAGAAGCCACTGGCCCTCTACGTGTTCTCTGAAGAGTCCTCTGTAAGTACACAGAAACACCTCAGAGACGCATTTTCTTTGATATCTACGTTTACTTTATATCCAGAGAGTGAGCCAAAGTAAACAAACAGTATAGGTGATAGCAAACATCCTCGTTCCAATGCAACGTTTTGAGATCTGTATGGATGTGTTGACTCTGATGGAGGCGAGTGGACTTGAATACAGAGTTTTTACCCACTTTATAAAACTAGGTCCAGATTTGAACTTTTCGATAGTACTGCAAAGAGACACGATCTAATGCCTGACATGCATCGAGTGACAGAAGCATTGCCTTCTCTCCTTTAGATTGTACATGCTCATTACATGTAATACTCTCCATGGATTATCCCCATCATATCTCCAGTCATAATCCAGTTTGGTCTGGGTGTGTAACATGATTAATCATTTCATTTACCATTCTCCAAAGTATGGCAGTCAGTATGCGGAGATCACTATTCAGCTTCAACATCCTGCTGTCCCTGTTTTGACTTCCTGTTGTCTCTTATTTGACGCCACGTTGTCTCCGCTCTGAAGGTGGTGAACACGGTGCTGGAGAAGAGCAGCAGCGGAGGATTCTGCTCCAATGACGGGATCATCCACATGGCGCTGCCAACGCTGCCTTTCGGGGGTGTAGGTAAGGGACACAAAACACACAGTACATGTACAGTATAGAGTGGTGCAGTGATGACGTAGGCTCACCCTAAAGTTAGCTTTTGGAATATTGTTGAAAATAAGATCTGTGGCAAACACACACATTGTTCAGTGGGAAAATAATTTGTTATAATAATTGAAGCCTAAATGGAATCACCAGAAGTGAAAAGCTAACGTCAGGCAATAAACAAACCACTTTACCACCGCCAAGCTAAAGGTGGCTAGTGTTTGGCGTGATGATGTATAGTAGTCTAATTTAGTCACTTGTTAGCAACAGCTGATTTTAGGACACTTAGTGTTTGCAGTTCATTTTCTTTTTCCTTTGCACATTCTAACCCTACTTTAACTTCTTATGTTTACATGAAAATGTTTCTTATATATTTGTTATTATTATTTATCTTTTATTTCCTTCTGAAATGAAGCAACTGTCCAGTAACCCAATTTCTCCGGGGATAAAAAAAGTATTCTGATTCTAAAAAATAATTATTAACTTAATTATAAAAAGAGGCCGTTTAAGATGCTGGATCACGGTTCTGACCCCTCCTTCCAGGGGCCAGCGGTTTCGGCAGTTACCACGGCCGCTGGGGCTTTGAGACCCTCAGCCACCAGAGGGCCGTCATGCTGCGGGGGTGGACCTTGGAGAGACTCAACGGCCTGCGCTACCCCCCCCTACACAGAGGACAAGCTGAGCTGGCTGCGCTGGACCACCTCTGCCAAACCCAGCTGCTCACTCATGTGATGTGAGACCTTGTTAAGGCATCTGCTGTAACTCTATACACGTTCAAAAGCAGTTGACTTGAAGACGAGGGAACCCGATGTGGTAAAATGCTGAATCATTTCCGAGTTTTAGAACTGATTCCTGCACCTCTCTATAATGAGCACGGACTAATGTTGGCGTTTGTTTTCCCAGATGGAGCTCCTGTATTTCCCCAATGTGTTTCTGTCTCATGCAGAGCAGTACCGCTGGTCAGTTAACCTCACTGTCATATTTTCTGAAGGATTCAAAAGTGATATATTTGTTCCTTTTTGACAACTGTTTGCCTCTTATGTGTGTGTACGCCTAGGAGGCTATAAACCTGATTCTCATTGTGTGTGTGTTGTTTGGGATATACTGTGATTAATCATGTGTTGGTTGATTGTGTGTATTACTGGGTGTTTCGCCCCTGTCTCTTAGCATGACACGTCTTTTTGCCACTATTATATTGTGTATTTCTATTGAGTTTGATACATCCACACTTCATTTGAAGTCATTGATAATGTACAGCTTTATTTTATTAGTGAAACCTTTTAAAATGGCTGATCTGTTTAATACACTGATATTTTGACCTGGATAAATAGAGAATGGGATTACAGCGTTTTTGTTTTTTTCACCTTATTGGGTTACTTGACACTGTAAATGTTTATACTGTTTTCCATGAAATACTACTAATAAATAAAAAATCGTCTTTTATTGATGAACAATTTGTTTGAAAAAGCAAACACCCATATTCTGCTCATTTTCAGGTTCATTTAGTGCCTATAGTTTGACATGTTCCCATGCTTTAATGCTCAAGAAGCTCTTCATTTGTTCCGCTCTAATCGGTTAGCTGGTTCAGGAAGTAAACAAAGGAGTCCAATGGATGGGGAAAATAAGGCCCAATTCCAAACCGCCCCCTGCCCACTCCGTGACAGTAGTCAGTAGTCACACTCGGTAGCTTACGGAGGCTCCCTTCTTCCAGCTAGACCATCATCAGTGTCGTGTAAACTAAATGTTTTTTGAAAAAGTAGGTCCATTTATGTTGAATTCATGACACTGCATTTGTGTATTTTCAGATTAAATTCTAAAATATATATTTCAAAGCCTTAAACAAATGATTTGGTACTTTAAGGTAGTGCTTTATTTCAGTCGACCTGTTTAATATGAATACAGAGCATTTACACAGGGAGCTTATCATTTGCTACACACTTCTTACAGTGACCTGGCACTTTAAATGACATGTCAATTTGACTCCCCTTTTCAAATATATTCCTTTTTATGATGACTCAGAGATATTAATATGAGGAGTAATCTGTAGTAATTTGCTACACGACCTGACTGAGGACATCTGTAAAAACATTTTCAACAGCTCCCGAACCCTTTAGCTTCATTAAAATACAGAGCTATGATAACATTACTTTTGATTCCATTTGACTGATCGGGGCTTTCAGTCATAAAAATAACAACACTCATCAAAAAGCATACTCGAGTAAAATGTGTTTTCCTGGAAAAGTACTAAAAAGCAGTGAAAAACCTGCCTAAATGAAGGTCAGAGGGTTCCACTTCCTGTGCCTGCAGTCACTGTGATCTCAAATATATTATTTTTCACTTTTGTATAATGACATCTCCATATTCATTTGAGACGATCATGGAACAAGAAGGTCAAAATGATAACGTTTATTACAAATATGACATTTGAAACAGGTCCATTATAGTCCTTACAGAACCCCTTCCCCGACTTACATTGTAACACTGATCATTTGTTATTCGACTCTATTGAGTTGTCATGGCTCTGGTTTGTGTGAGGAGGGGGTCCCAGGGAGGGGCTGCTCAGAGGCTGCACACTCTGCATGTGGGGGGGGGCTGGCTGCCGGCTCTTTCTGCACCAGCTCGGGCTCGTCCTGTCCGGCCTGGGGGGGGTGGACCAGCACCCGGTCGATGATGCCGAAGTCCTGCGCCTCCACCGGGCTCATGTAGCGGTCCCGCTCCATAACCCCGTCTACAGGGAGACCAGCTAACAGTTAGCCACATGCTATCAATCATTCATTATCAGTGGTGACGTGTACTAAAGTACTGTACTGAGGTTCAAATATACTAGTCTTTTTTCTCTGTGCCACTATACTTCTTCACTACATTTTTCAGGGACATTAATGACCTTTTACTTCGATTCATTTTTTAATTACAAATTGAGATTCAAGAACTAAAGCTTTAAAATTAATGCAGTGCAGTGGAAAAATACATATGTACATATTAAAACACATCCATTTACAGTCTACATATTTCTTTATATATTATTACAATACGCAGTATTTTATTCCAATGTACATTCCTTTTTTTTTTTTTAATCTTACTCTATTTTGCATTTATATTGTTCATTTCTGCATTTAACTTGCACCAGTGTGCCCCTTGCAGTCTTTTATTTCAATGTATTCTTGTACTATTTGTATTTCTTTTAATGTCTTAAGTATAATGTATGTTGAATAGTTGAGGGAGCCTGGGACTTCAGATATTCATTGCCATAACTACGACGTAGCTATTGTGCATATGAAAATAAAGTGGAAGTAGCAGTAAAATTAAGAGCTCAGCTAAAGTACAATATTTAGGTACACTACTTGAGTAAATGTCAGAGAGAGAGAGAGCAGGAAGTTACTGATGGTCTGCAGCAGCTGGCCCGTGTGTTTGGCGTAGATTTGGTTGATCTGTTTCTTCAGCTTCAGGATCTCCTCAGCCTGGATGGCGATGTCTGTGGCCTGACCCTGAACACATCACAGAGAAATGATCATGTTTACAGACTCAGTAACCCCCTATGCTTGATCAGATCAGTATAAGGAAGTTGGGGGGGCAGCTCACCCTGGCGCCCCCTGAGGGCTGGTGCAACATGATGCGGGCGTTGGGCAGTGAATGTCTCATGCCTGCCGTGCCCGCTGCCAGCAGCAGGCTGCCCATGCTGGCAGCCTGGCCCACGCACCAGGTGGAGATGGGGTTCAGGATGTACTGCATGGTGTCATAGATGGCCAGGCCCGCTGTCACCACACCACCTGAGGGGCGGGAAAAGAAATGGCATGAGTTTAGAAAACACCACAGAAACGGAGGACTCAAAATCCTCAGGGGTCCTTGCTCATGTGCACCTCTGCAGGGACCATGGTACCTTTTTCAAAAGGGCCCCAGTATTCACATATTCAGGTTCATATCAGTATGTAGTGTCTCTACTGGGACATGTCTCCATGCTTTAATGTTCAAAAAGCTCTTTATTGTTCTCATACTGCCTGTGCTGCAGCACCTCTTTTCACCCTCTGTCTGAAACCAGAGCCCAGTCTGCTCTGATTGGTTAGCTGGCCGGCTCTGTTGAGATTGGTCAACCATTAAGAGAGGTCCCACCCCTTAGCCCAGGGGTGGAGAACCTCCGGCTTCCGGCCTTATACGGACCGCAAGACCATTTGATACGGCCCTTGAGGTAATTTATAAACACACGCAAAAAAGAAAAAAAAGAAAGAAATCTAGACCGCAAAATAATTAAACAAGCGAGTGCCTGTTTTTCCTGGCCAAGGTCAGGGTCCTTGAACACAACACGAGCCTAACTGTCATCACGTGGTATATGTCTCGACAGGGGTGCAGTTCTGACGGAGCGCACCAGATCGTCGCTCCGGCACTTCAGATAAGGAGCCGTACACACAGGGCCGCCCCTGGCCAACTTGGGGCCCCAAGCGACATTGTGAGATGAGGCCCCCCCCCCCCCAACCGACAGGAGTGAACATTTTTTTTTTGGAAACAAAGTAGGCTACTTTGCAAATATAATTCCTGTTTATTATTATTATCAACGGTTACTTTTTTATACAGTGAGGTAAATGGTAAATGTGCATGTATGTCGCTCAGTATGGGTTTACAGGTGAATTTTGCATTTCCTGCCAAATACTAGCCTCAAAAAGATAAAAACATAATTAATGCAAATAAACTACTTCTACTAATAATAATAATCATAATCAATTCAATAATAAAAATACTATATTGTTTTATTATAATATAGTTGTAATATAGTCAAGACAAAACATGCTTATGACATGCTCAAAAACTGATATTTCTTAAATCTGTATTCTAGTTCCCTCTGTCAGCAATGTATCAACAACTGCACACACATTTCTATCAGTGTTTCTCTGTATTGTGGTTGACATGATGATGACTGTTAGGAGTTAAGGGGAGAGGCTGAGCATCACCATGAAATGTGCAAATTGACATAAAAATGAATAAAAGGGGAAAAAATGCTCCATGTTTTTTAGGCTGTAAACTTGAACTGTTATGTAAGCCAACTAGACAGACAGTATCACTCTTCCTCCTGTACATTAGCAGATCAAAGGCATAACATAATGAATGAATGGTAAATAAAGAATACTGGAAATAACTGCATCTCCATTAGCCTATATGCTCTGCAGAGACTGCCTTCTTCATGTCGTGAATTGCAGCTGATGTTTTAAGATGGCAATTGGCTATTTGACTTATACAACATTCGTAAATTGTACATTTGACTCATACAATAACCCACCTTCGAGTGATGCGCTAGTTTCTTCATGTTTTGTTTTTTGCGCCGGACTGAAACTGTCTTTTCACCGACATCTCTTCACCTGCACTAGTGGCCGTATCAAAGCCGTGATTGGTCAGATGTCGATTCATTGCAACGGTGTCGGGTTACAGACGTGCTCCTCTTGTCACCTCTCACTCTCGCGGGGGGTGCGCGGAGAACTGAGCGGAGAACTGCGCACAGCAGCTGAGGCCCTCTGGGCGGGGCCCCCTGCGCAAGGCGGGCCCCCCTGCGTGATTGGCCTGTAGGGAGGGGCGGCCCTGCGTACACATGCCGCAGTGTCTTTAGCTGAAAGCTCCGTGGCGATCTGTTCATCTGTCATACTGATCATACAGTCAATAACTTTGTTGTTATTAGCATCTGGTTAGCTAGCTATGCTAACGAATATAAGAAGCTTTTTCTACAACCAGTGAGGTAAAGGCACATCTTTATATGATCATTATAGTTATAAAAAATAAGAGAATAAAGTAAACAGGTATAAAATACTATATGACAAAAAAAGTTGTTATTAATAAAGAAGAATACAGTTTAAAAGGAGAGTGATTTGTAAAATGTCCATAAAGAAAAATAAATCTGCTTACAGTTCTGTTTCATCTGGGTGTTGAGAGATGTATCCGTAGATCTCCTAGTGTTGCTCTCAAAGTGCACCAGATTGATGCTTTTAACTTCAACATTTTAGCATGCCCCCCCGGACCCCCCTAGAGGAGGTTAGGTCCCCCCCCCACACTTAAATATTGTCCACATGGATAGGAAACTAAATACATTTGCACACATCTTGTGTCCATATCTTTCTGTTTTGGTGTTCATGCCACAACCGTGCACGTGCATGCGTGAGATATCTGGATTAAGAGGTTGCTTTTTCTTTGCATGAAACAAAGGCCAAATGAGTGGGCTGTGATTTTAGTATTTTTAAGCAGAGGTCAATCATTTGTACGGCCCTCGGAGGATGTTGGAAACATTGAAATGGCCCTTGAGAGGAAAAAGGTTCCCCACCCCTGCCTTAGCCAATCACGTACAATGTGTTGGAGCGCTAGCCAATAGAAGAAGCCTGAGTGTTACATAATGATGTCACTATGTTCAGGAAGTAAACCAATCTTAAATGGCAAAACAAAAAAATAAACATTGAACCCTTCAATATCTGCCATCTGGGTTGAAGGCTTGTGTGCGCTGTGAGTCTTACCAGGACTGTTGATGTACATGTGGATGGGTTTGTTGTTGCTCTCTGACTGTAGGAAGAGCAGCTGGGCGATAACCACGCTGGCTACATTGTCATCGATCTGAGGGGGGGAGGCAGAGAGTACCAATGAAAATCACTTTGAAAATGTCAAAATAAAAGTTGTCTTGATCACATCTGGGGAGACACTCACAGGACCCATTAGACAGATGATCCTCTCTCTCAGGAGGCGGGAGTAGATATCGTACGCTCTTTCTCCTCTCCCCTGAAAAAGACAGAAAGGTTTATAAATGACCAACGAAACAAGTCTATGTAGTGTTAAGCACTGAATTCAGTTTGATGGAACCTGCTTAAATCGCGTTTAGTTATTTTAAGATCCAATTACTGGAGGCATAGACTAGCCTTGTTGATGCATTCAATGACGCTCTGACTTCTGAAGCCTTTGTGATTCCAACGGTGACCACATTTAAAGTGTCCTTTAGGTTGATTAGTTTTCTCCCGCTAAAATGGCTCGGTTGATATTTTATATTCTTATACAATGAGCTGTGAATCAACCTAAGCACTTAGTACATAGGATCTCTATTGAGAGCAATAATAAAGCAGCTATGTAAAGATAAATTGCAGAAGTGTCTACCTGTTGGAGAATAACATCTCCATTCCCTGTGCAGAAATTATTTGTATTATTATTATCCTTTTTAACCAGCATACTGACAGTTTGAGAGCAATTTTGTCATTTTTTCCCAAAATCTTTCTCTGTAAGGTGTGTTCCACTGCTCATGCTAAATGTACAGCCCATCTCCTGTCCAAGAGTTAGTAGATTTCTCATCAGTGCTCTCTCAGACTGTAGCCACAGAGTGAGGCTGAGAGTGTGTGTAGTGCAGCTTTCACACAGCTCCCTCACCGTCTGCTCCACCACGATGGGGATGAGCGGACTCCTCCATGCAGGACTGTGATGGATGGACCTGCTGTGTTTCAGCGTCAAGCCTCCTATGTGAAACACTCTCTGAAAGACACACACACACAGGATATCAGGATAAGAGGATGCTGAAAGAGAAACAGTGGTTTACAGTAACTAAGTATATTTACTCAAGTTATGTACAACTTTGAGGGGGCGAGGGGTGGTATTTCCACCCCACTACAATTCAGAGGTAAATACTGTACTTTTACTCCACAACATGTATTTATACCTTTACAGATGTGGATGAATGATGTGAAATATAACCAAGTGTTAAATCAGACTTTAGTTCCACCAGGGGCCTATACTACGAAGCTGGTTCAACCTAACCTGGATATGTTTGAGTTAGCCGGTTGGCCTAATCCAAAACATACGCGCTCTCGCTAAACTGTACTACGACGCTGGTTATCAAGTGGATCGCTCAAGCCAGCCGTGTCCTATCTAGTTAGGTGCGCGTTCACATGAAAGGGGTGGTATTTGGAGCATTCGACCAATCACAAACATGGAGAAGCGTACTGACAGCGCAGCGTCATACTTCCTGAATGAAAAGTGAACTTTAATATTAGACATATGAAGAAGTTAAACTTTAAACATGCATGACTTAAACACTTTATCCAGGATCAAAGCCACATAGCTGCACCTGCAAGGTGAATACAGCTGGGAACAGAACAAGTGTTTGAATGCGTACATTAACAGGTTTATGATATCACTGCCCCGTCCAAGACACGATCTGACTTTAATTACATTTGACTCGAGTGTTTCGTCAACTTAATGTGTTGCTAAAATAATACTTCTGCATACAGTATGTGACACTGTGAGTGTTGCACGGCCAGATACGGCTCAGCTGACTCAGATAAGGAAATATATGATACATTATGAAGTGATATGCCGCGGACTGTAGGCTACTTACTATGGGCTCAGAACAGTCTCATAATACACACATGCACACAGAAGGATTCACACTTGTATTTCCAGATCCACACTTGTGTTTTTCAATGCACACACAAATGTGTTCCGTTTCATATACATGTAAATAAAATCCAAATACAGAAAAAAGTTTTACATGAGTATTTTTGATCCTCACTTATTTGTTTTCCGTTTTAAAACCGCTGCACCTGCAAACACAAACCACTTTCTGTGCACGGATCGCTGTGCATTCGTGTGTGGGTTTTTTGAGACTCCCCTGAGGGTCAGCCGATTCGTACTTGTAATTATTTCTATCTATAGCCAATCAGATGTCTCCTCAATTCTAAGCCAATCACATGAGCGCGCCCCCACGAGGGTAGATTTCTTGCGTTCATGACGTAGCGCTTCATGTACGCATTTTGCGCAGTCCGGAGCTGACAGCTCCATGGAGCCTGCCTGCAGGCGCTAATCTCAGGACACCCTCCACTCTCAGTACAGCGCCACTTTCCGAACAGGAAATGCACGCAAATACAAGCCTTTATATTATTAAGGTACAGCGCCACTTTCCGAACCATTGATGAATGCTTGTGTACACAAAAACGGCAGGCAAGCCCGTTTTAAATGTGTGTTTCCTACATGGCGAATACAGCTGCTTTATTTATGTCTGTATGAAGTTGTTGTGAGTGTGGAGGGAGCAGCTACAGGTTAGCTTAGCCTAATCGATCAGTGCACCACGAAGCTAGTGCTAGACAGTGACCTGTTAACGGGGGGAGCCCCGCCGGTCATTATCGGCCGATATTCACTCTTAATAGTTTGATCGGTGCTCTCTATAAAGGCCGATCAGGAGAGCTGGATCTGATCGATATGGACATAAACGCGAGTGAAGTATAACCGGACGCGAGAGATCTACAAGATCCACTACACCTCTATGGTACCCATGTACATGTCAAAATTCTTCCCAAAGGTCAAGGAATACCATGATCATAACACCAGAGGGAGCTCCACAAATCATGTAAAACCCAGATTTGGCACAAAAAAGGGGGAATACACGTTTCGCAATTATGCCACATCAAGGTGGAACGCTCTTCCCACAACTGTAAAGGAAAGTAAAACTATACTTGCCTTCAAAACCTCTCTTAAAGAGCACCTTCGGGGGAGAGCATTGCAAAACTGGCCCCGGTAATGGTACAAATCTCAACCTGTCGTTCAATGGACAGCTTCCCCCCCCCCCCATCTATGTATATACTCGCATTTTAGACTCTGTTACTAACTGTATATCTGTAGACTTGGTATGTCTTAAATGTCCGGTTAGGATGTATTAGAACGAAATCTAAAATGAAAATTGTAAATAAGCAATCTGTATGTAAAAAACCACCTGTATGTAAATTGTAAATAAGCCATCTGTATGTCAAATATGTCTTATATGTCTTAAATGATATGATGAATTGGAAATGGGGGACCCTGATGTAAACAAGACGAAAGTCTTTCTCTGGTCTGCATCCCCTTAACAATTGTATGTTTTGAGCTGTACTGTACTGTACCCAATATACAAGCTGTTAATACACTTTTCAATCAATCAATCAATCAATCAATCAATCAATCAGAGAGAGATCAGATCAGCTGCTGAGTGAGTCTGATGGAGACATGCTGCTCTGCATGATCACCTGAAGCTCCGCCCTCTGTTTAGCGAGTTGACCGGCCTGCGCAAAATGCGTAAATGAAGTAATCTTACCCTCGTGGGGGCGCGCTCATGTGATTGGCTTAGAATGAAGGAGACATCTGATTGGCTATAGATAGAAACAATTACAAGTACGAATCGGCTGACCGTCAGGAGAGTCTCAAAAAACCCACACACCAATGCAAAGCGATCCGTGCACAGAAAGCTGTTTGTGTTTGCATGTTCAGAGGATTTAAACGGGAAACTAATAAGTGAGGATCAAAAATACATATGTAAAACTTTTTTCTGTATTTGGATTTTATTTACATGCATATGAAACGGAATACATTTGTGTGTGCTTTGAAAAACACAAGTGTGGATCTGGAAATACAAGTTTGAATCCTTCTGTGTGCATGTGTGTATTATGAGCAGTGTTGGGGCTATTTTTTAGCAGTAACTAGTACTCTAATGCAATACTTTTTAAATTCAGTAACTCAGTTACCGTTACTACATGGTGCGTTACTCCGTTAGTTTTTTTATATAGTCAACAGCCAGGCGAACAGAGATGAGAACTGTACTTAAGTACAGTACTTGAGTAAATGTACTTAGATACTTCCTGTGTCACATGCGGAGACGGGCTGTGGGCGTGTTTGTGTTGTTTACTAACAAGACTATCATGGCGGCGGCGGAGCTCAAGTCTAGTTTCTCCACCTGGAGATATTCTCACTATTTCACTTTTGTCGAGCACAAAGAAAAGAACGTTTTAGTTAAATGTAAGTTGTGTCTTGGCGGGTCAAAGATCCTATCTACTGCCCAAACCAGTAATTCAAATCTCTTAAAACATCTGCAAAAACAACATGCTGGGACGAAGCTAGTAGCTAAGACCACAGAGACTCAGCCGACGCCACTCCACCTCCACCTAAGCAACAGCGGCTGGATTTTAACCAAGGGACTGCTAGCCAGGGAAAAGTCGATAAAGCCATTGCACGGTATGTTGTAGAACACATGCAGGCTATTGCTACAGTGGAGTCACCCGCTTTCAGGGAGCTAGTTAGCATGATAGCATGTCCGGGCGGCACACGGCATATGGGACGGAAAACTTTTTCCAACTACCTGGAGAAAGAATATACAAAAATGGAAAGCCAGCTAATATCGATGCAATCCAGATTGCATATAATGCATGTCAAGTTGATCAACAGATTGTATTATTCTCCAATGCAATAACAGTACTGAAATGAAGGCTATAAGGGCAATAATGGGAGCCCTTTCTTTAACTAACGGAAACGTTACTTTTCACAGTAACGCATTACTTTTAGGTGTAAGTAACTAGTAAAGTAACTGAGTTACTTTTGAAATGAAGTAACTAGTAATGGTAACTAGTTCCTGGTTTTCAGTAACTAGCACAACACTGATTATGAGACTGTTATGAGCCCATAACTTAATGTTACTCTGATCCGGTTACTTATGTTGTGGCAGATATTTAATTAAGCTTTCTTAACGCTAATGTTATAATAGTCAGATTGCTCTGAAGATGGAGGTGATATTCTATTCATGTTCACGTTCACACAGTCGGTGATTTTTGTCGGCCGTCTTTCCTGCAACAGCAGTTTTTCTGTATTTCCTTTCTCCTGTAATTTGACTTGATCGCTTTAAACTCCGCACACTGAGCTCTGATTGGTCAGCAGGCAGTGCTTTCACTGAGTTGAGCTCTTAGCCTGCAACCTAACCCGCTCCGTACCAGGTTAGCCGCTAAGCATAAGTTACCATGGAGATCTAGCCTGCTAAAAAGAGAACCAGCTTCGTAGGACCGGAAAGCCGGAGTTTTCCCTGAATTTATCCGGCTAAGCGAAAATCCTGCTTCGTAGTATACCCCCCAGGAGTAAATCCACCAGCTACCCTGCAGTATACAAAGTCATTCAAACTAGCTGCACCTTTACCAGCTTTGAGAACACTTTCATGATCAATCATTATAAAACATATCATATATATTATTCTGAAATGGAACAATCTGCACAATGACTACTTTTACTGTCGCTACTTTAACTATATTTTGATCCTAATACTTTTGTACTTTTACCTAAGTAACATTGGCTATTCAGGACTTTAACTTCTCCCACCTCTGCATGTTAACATAATACTATGAAGCTAACATAAAGAGGATGTCATGCAGTGGACAGGTAAACATGATATTAAAGCTGACATGTTTGGATGCTCTGAAGTGATGTAACACTAGCGGCTAACTGTAGCTAGCTAACAGCCTGAATCGAGCCTACGTGCTAACACCCCTGCCCCGTGTCGGATATATTAAAGCCACAGAACAGTGAGACACTGACCCCAAAACTGAGACATGTACTCACCCTTAGCAGCATTTTGAAGCTTTTCACGTTTCTGTCCCCTGTGTGTGTAACCCCCAGATAACCCGGAAACTACTACCACTTGGCTCTTGAACCAAAGAACCATGCATGCAAAGAACCACTGCCATCGCTGGACCACCTGTAGAGGAGCAGCATAGCGCCCCCTGCTGTATCGGAGTGATAGACTCCTAACATTACTATATCTGAATACCAGCAAATACTATTCATATAATAAACTAGTGAATAGTATTAGCATCAACATTTACTTAAAGTACCAAGACTAAAAGTACTCGTAAATTCTGATTGGTCCATTTCAGAATAATATATATGATATGTTTTATAATGATTGATCATGAAAGTGTTCTCAAAGCTGGTAAAGGTGCAGCTAGTTTGAATGACTTTGTATTCTGCAGGGTAGCTTGTGGATTTACTCCAGGTGGAACTAAAGCCTGATTTAACACTTGATTATATTTCACATCATTAATCCACATCTGTAAAGTAACTAAAGGTATAAATAAATGCAGTGGAGTAAAATTACACAATTTACCGATGAATTGTATTGGAGTAGAAGTACAAAATAGCAAAACATTGAAATACTCAAGTAAAGTACACGTCCTTCAAAATTGCACATAAGTACATTACTTGAGTAAATGTACTAATTACACCACTGGATATAAACTATGAATATAAATAACTCATGTACTACATTTCTTTATCTCCAAAGACCTCTGCCACAGCTTTGATAAATACACTGTGGATTGTTACCAGAGATATTATATAGGGTTTTACTTATAGAGCATCTTTGTTAATACCTGCCATTTTTCTTCGTTGGATTTTTAGCACCTAAAACTGGTCGGAAAGGTATTTCATGAGCTTTGTCCACCTCACTTTAAGACACAAAAAGACGGCTTGTAATAGGCTTTACTTCTACTACCACTAATACTAATCCTACTCACCTACTACTACTACTACTTAACTACCACTAATACTAATCCTACTCACCTACTACTACTACTTAACTACCACTAATACTAATCCTACTCACCTACTACTACTACTACTACCAGTGCTACTACTTAACTACCACTAATACGACTACTTCTTCTATTACTTCTAGGCTACTACCACTAGGACCATCACAAACACTACTTCTACTACTATTTATCACCTCGTGTTATTCTCGTGTTTTTTATTGTTTAATGTGTGCTTCTCGTATCAAATTCAGATTTTAAATAGAAAACAAGCAATGGGTTTAAAAACATGATGATATATATCATTTAGTGGGAATGCTGTTAACAGCATTCCAATTAACTGTTATTCTACGCACGACTTATTTTGGCCCTCTTCTCCTCCCGCATTGAACATCGCAGAAACTCCGTTCAAACATCAAAACGTTCAGCTCGGTCGGGATTCGATTGCTATTACTTTTCTCATTCATAACTTTCATAATTCCAGAGATACATCCCATAATACATCAAATTGTTCACCATTGAAGTCAATGGAGAAATTCTTCAGACTTCAACAAATCTTCATTCGATCTTCACTGCTAACTGTTCATTCATACTTTCACTCAGAAACCTCATTCCAACTTTAAAATGTTACACATCTTTCTGACATTATTCGTGTAACACAACTTTTAAATCTGATTCTTACTTTTAGATATATTAAACATTGTTCAGACCTTGTTTTAGAGGTTTTCTTCAGATTTTAACATTAACTAGAGTGCGTGATTTCACAGCTAGAGGGTAGGAAATCTTGAGATTTGCCTTCATATTTTTTTTTAAACTGCCATAATTCCCAAACCCTACATTCCTGAGACATAATGTTTCATGACAAACGTATACGGAAAACATCTCGTAGCTTGAAAAATGACAAATAATTAAGCAAAAATAATTAAACAAAATGCCTCTTGAGGGCATGAAGTGACAAAAACTTTCAACATGCCTCCATTAAAGCCCATTATAATTTCAGGCTGATATTTCTTCACGGTAGCAGCCGCATACCTTTAGTTAAACTGCCAAAAAGGCCACATTATTAACCCGAAAGTACACAAAAATTACACTTCAGATACTCAACTTCCTTGACATGCTTCACGTTTTGAAATTTCACAGATATCTGTTACGGTTCTTCCACAAAACGTTCCCATGTAAGAGGTTTATCTCTCATTCAGAACAATGGAAACGATAGTTACGGCTGTAACTACAGTTCTATGAGTCCCGGATGACCGCCAGAGGCGGTGCTTTAAGCACTGGATATGTCCATCGCGCGCATGCGCAGCTCGAGTACCAATAACAACAAAGTCACCTGTGACCCACGTGACACCGGCTATATCAGCCGGTGTCGTCAGAGGATCTGTTCCCAGAATCTTCTCGCGAGCACACAACAATTCTGAGTGACAGGGAACTCTGGCGGTCATCCGGGACTCATAGAACCGTAGTTACAGCCGTAACTATCGTTCTATTTCGTCCCTACTGACCGCCAGAGGCGGTGCTTTAAGCACTGGATGACTTATACCAACAATGTCATGAAGAATCCAAGCCCTTGCTCACCACTGGAAGCAGCGGAGCTCGGCAAAAGGACCACGCCCAAAGAATGGGGAGTGGCGACATTGACCTGATGACAACTGGAGAATGTGCCAGAAGACGCCCACGACGCCGCGGCGCAGATGGTCTCCAGGGGCACCACCCTCAGGGTAGCCCAAGATGTTGAGATGCTCCTTGTAGAGTGGCATCTCAGCCTGATGGCAGGGGGCGGCCACTGGCCCCGTAAGCCTGTGAGATGGTATCGACAACCCAGTGGGGCAGCCACTGGTTAGAGGGCATAACCTCCTTTAGTGCCGCAAGGGCAAAATCAAGAGTTGCTCCTACTGCCGTATACAGGCAGTAGCCTTGATATGCGCCCTTTGGGCACCCACAGGGCACAGCAACTTCGACGTGCCGTACTCCTGAATGTCAAAGCGTGCCAGCTGGGCAGGCTGATTGAAGTGGGTTTGTGGAATGCCACATTTGCCCAAAGGGCAATGCCTGAGAGTCCCACCTCGGGCATCATTTCATTTCAAACCTTTATTTATACAGATAAATCCCATTGAGATCATTGATCTCTTTTTCAAGGGAGACCTGCTCAAGTAGTTCCACATGAAACATACAAACATAAATAGAACAACAAAAGGACATCATACAGCATCATTTACATAATTATCCACATAAACAGGTACCAATAGCTTCCGATTGACTAGCATCCAACCGAGCTTTAAAAACATTTAGTGGCACCAGATTGTTCAGTTTCCATTTAATTTGCAGACTATTCCAAGACAGAGGAGCTGCGCATCTAAAAGCTGTCTTCCCTAGGACAGTCCTAGCAGTTGGCACATTTAATAAAACCACAGCATTCGATCTCAGGCAGGAGCCACTTACAATTTTCCGTGAGATCAGGGAGCAGATATAAGATGGAAGTTTCCCTAACATGGCTTTGTATATAAAAATGTACCAGTGACTGAGCCTCCGTACAGTTAGTGAAAGCAAACCAGCCCTTGCATACAGGGTACAGTGGTTAATGCTTTACAGTTTGTCACAAATCTCAGTGCGCTGTGATACGCAGCATCTAACTTGACCAGGCAATTGGCAGGTGCATTCATATACATCAAATCACCATAGTCCAGCACAGGTAAAAAGGTCACAGTGACTAGCCTTTTCCTGGCCTCAAGCGAGAAACAGGACTTGTTCCTGTAGAAGAAACCTAGCCTAACCCTCAGCTTTTTAAGCAGGTTATTTACATGAAATTTAAAAGTGAGACAATCATCAAGCCAGATACCAAGGTATTTGTAACAGGTAACCACTTCAAGTTTTATTCCTTGCGTAGTTACAATATCTAAAAACAGGCTCTGGTGTCTTTTTAGCTTTAGAAAAGAGCATTACCTTGGTTTTCTCAACATTTAAAAGAAGCTTTAGTTCAGAGAGCTGAGTCTGAATAATGTTAAAAACAGCCTGTAATTTAACACCAGCCTCCTTAATGGAGGGACCTGCACAGTACATCACGGTATCATCCGCATAAAAATGTAAAGTAGCTTCATCCACATTTTCACCTAAACTGCATGTATTGTTTATGGAGAGGACATGCAACTCCCCGACTCGCTTCCCTGAGGCTATGGCAAGCAGAAATGCTGCCTTCGTGGGCAGCCACCTAAGCCCAACCTGGGCCAGGGGCTCGAAGGGAGGAGATGATAGGGCATCCGGCAGCAGGGGCAGGTCTCAAGCCGGAGCCCTCGGGGTGCTAGGGGGACGCTGCCATAAAGCCCCTTTCATAAAGAGGGACACCGACCTGTGTCACCCCGCCGTGGCGCCCTCGACCCGAACATGTCGGGCAGAAATCGCAGCCACATAAATTCAGAGGGGAGTGAGAACGTCCACTATCTAGAAGGGACTGTTGTCTAAGCAACAACGTACGTGCTGTCCCCAAGGAACACACACATTCTTGCCCTCCAGTTGGGGTAGAAAGTGCGTGAGTGCAAGCTGCACAGCCCGAAGCTCTAGCACGTTGACCTGGCGCGCACTCTCCTGGGCAGACCGCTGACCCTACCCGGTCCTGCCCTGCCGCACTGCACCCCAACCTGAGAGACATGCACCTATGGTGATGGTCTCCTGGCGGGATGGGATGGCGCCCATGGGCACGCCCACCAGGAGATAGGCCCCGCCCCTCCAGCGTGACAGAGAGTGGAGGCAATGCTGCGACACCCTGACTTCCCTGTGCCTGTGCCACTTGGCGTCCAAGTGAAGGCTGTTCAGCCACATCTGCATGGAGCGCAACGACAGCGGGCCTAAGGGCCTAGCGGACGAGGCAGCTGCCAGTCTGCCCAAGGGCCGGAGGAACTGAATATAAGGCACCATCTTGCCCGGCCCACGTGGAAGTAGGCATCCCTCAAGTCCACGGTTGAGAACCACTCCACCTGTGCATATGCAGTGGTCAGCATATAGAATGAAAGCACCTTCAGGAATCTGTTGATTCCTCTGAGGTCCAAGATCGGGCGAAATCCGCCGACTTTCTTGCTCACGAGAAAGTACGCCTAGTAGAACCCCCTGGGCTAAGCAGAGGGTCTTACTGGCTTGATTGCGTCCTTGGACAGAAGGACGGACAACTCTTGGACC